GTCCAACTCCAACTCTGGAGAGGTGGTCTGGGAAACCAAATTCCAACTATACTGCTGGGCCACTGTGCTGGTTACAGTAGGCTGGTGGTTTTCACAGACTATAAAAAACCCAGTTGTTGATCTGGAGACAGCCATACTAGGATCCTACACCGTGCTTGGGAACCCATTGTCCCGAGGGCTTTGCTCATGCCCTGATATCACTACCCCCATTCTCTTAAACCATAGGAGGTCAGTCAGACAAAAGTTCCTATGTCTTGAAATTTCTTTTATACCCCTGTGGGGAAGTCCTGCCTAGCCTTAGCTGCAGACAATACAAGACCTGCAGCTACAAGCCTAAAAACATATAACAAATCTATAAAACATTATAGTCAAAAACAACCATCTCTAATCTAATGACTTTAAAGCCAACTTCAGTCTGCCCAGTGCAGTGATTTCCATTACTTGCAATGCAATGCATTCCCAACCTCCCCACACCAGAGTCAGACCTCATTGAAACTAATACAAAATAGGTTACAAAACCCCCTCCTGTTTATATTTGAGAATCCCAATGTCAAACACACACAGACTTTAATGTATATATCAAAATGGAAGGAAGACACATCTACCTTAGCTAATGAAGCCTGGGATGACACATTAAGCACACTCCAAAATGATCCCATCCAAAGAAAGATATATACAATTGAAAATACTACACAGGGTGTATTACACACCCATCCCTAACACCCTCTGCCCTAAATGTCAAACTGAACCTGGCTCACTTATAAGCGACCTGTCTTTTAATATTGACATATTACAAATATACGACACCATTAAGGTGACACTCTGGGTTGGGATCCTGTCATGCTTCTCCTGGGTCTGTTGGATAGTCTAGACATTTTCTCTTCTATGCTGCCTTCTATGCAAGGAAAGCAATACTCTTCCACTGGAAGCTCCGACCCAACCACATTTTCAGGATGGAAATCACTTGTCAAGTCTGCCCTCCCCTATATAAACTCACTAATATTTGTCAAATTACTCTAAATAAATTGGTAAAATAGTCTTTTAGTTTGCATCTGCATTCTGGACATTTGTTCCTGGACGCATTACTGCTTCACAAATTAGTACCACTTGGTGCACCGTCCAGCCATGTCCAATTTCAGCCACTTGCCAAGACTGAATTTTGTCCTATGATGGTACTCAAGACCATATTTTGATCCAGAATGGAATGCAGGAAAGACAGAATACATCCCATGGTGTACTTTCTAGAATGAAATTTTCTTGACTTGCACCAAGAAAAATAGGCCATCCAGGTGTAATGGTAGACTTTGCAAGAAGTAAACGTTCTAGGCTTCAAGAGGGTAGGGATGCACATGTCTGAAAGGTTCCTGTCTGTTAGAACTGTGGCTTTAACAGCCAGCAACCGAAAAGCAGATGAAATACTGGTTCTTTGGACAGAAGGTCTGGATGATCTGGAAGGGGTTTGAGTATGGATTAGGAGATTAAAACGCCACACCAATAATACATTGTCCAGGTACAGTATACAGTTATTCCAGTATGAATTAGGATAAAGGATGGTGCCAACATGTTTTGGGGTTCTCAAAATGCCCCATGAATGTGTTACATTCTGTAAAAATAATGCAAAGACTTTTTTCTATGGAGCAGTCAGGAGGGTGAGCACCTGTTGGGACTTTTTCATTGCATTTCATTGTTACACCTGAGGCATGTAAATTCAGTGATGTGCAGAACAGCTGGCTTCACTGGAGAAAACTCCTACAACAAGCAGCCATTCAAAGGAAATTGCATACACTTGAACTTAACGTCAGCTTTATGTTTAGTAGTTTAGCAGATCTGCTGAGATCATCACACCCAAACTTCAGAAGGAGTTAAGTCTAATTTGGTGTGTGCATACAAGGAGTGAATTCTGGTCTGGATAATAGGGTTGTCTTTTCCCAATTTGTTAAAAAGGGCCCAAAAATCCACCAAAGGTTCCTGTTTTGAACGCAGTAGTGTCGGCTAATCGTGATCATGTGGAGTGTCTCCCAAGTACAGAACAGCATCATCATCTGCATATAGTTTTTTTTTATCTTCCCCATCATGTTTAACAAACCCGATAATATGGGAGTTTAGCCGAACTGTGGATGCAAGGGGTTCAATCACCAGGGCAAAAAATCGGGTTGAAAGCAGGCATCCCTATCTTGTGCCTCTTCCTGGTTCAAAAGGTTGTAAGAGAGCCACTTTTGCAGTCAAATTTGAGAAAACCTCACTGAATGCTTTTAAGTGCTCCCATTCACTCAACATGACTAATTTTTTTAAATTTCTCACCTTTTAGATGCTTCTCAACACAAGCTGTCAAATATGACTAAGGTTTTTTGAACAAGGTCAGAATGAGTCCTGTGCCAAGCCTGTTCCCATGAACATATAATGGAAAAAGCTCAGCGTCTACACCTCTGTGTTAGGACCGACAGTGTTCAAATCTAGTTACAACTGATAATGAAGATCTGTCTGCATAATATAGACAACACAGTTGCCCAGCTCCCCCACAAGCAAATAGATTTTCCTTGCCGAAGGGTGCAGAACAGAGCATCTAAAAAAGTTAAGCTGCAGTATTTTATGTGAATGGGGACATGTAACACATATAATGTAGGTGTTATCCCAAAAGTGGAAATATACTTTAAGGCCCTCTCTATGTTTATTGCAGTTGACCTGTAAGGAATAAGCCCAAATTGGTTAGAAGTGGACAACCCCAAAAATGACTCTTAGTATATGACTTTGTCCACTCCTTCAGGGAAAGGAAGGAAGCAAGTCTTATAAACTCTAGCATCATTCCTGCAAGGTCTTCTTTTATTGATGCTATTAAACATATACATGATATATGCACAGTGCAAGGAATTATGGGGAGCAGTACAACCCATTCAAATTGGAAGGGTGGCAGAGGATTTCATAAATGTTTATATGACCTTACAGTGATAACATACAAAAAAGAAGAAGTCAACAGGCATATGTTTTCTTTTAAAAAGGATTGTTTGAGCCACGTGTACAGTAGAAACAGATAGTAATGTCAAAGAAGGTTTTTGATGTTATATTTTGAAAATGGCAATTTGGTTTTGAGTTTTTATATATAGATGCCAACGTTTGTAAATGAACAACGGCATAAGAAGTACTGTTAATTTCACAAAATATATAATGTAACAACATCATATGTAATCTTAAAGAAATTGGACAATGCCGTAAAAACGGTCTGTGGTGATACATGGAGCAGATCAAGCAGGAAAAAAGTTTAGAGGTGCCATTTGAGAGAATTAGATCACACCATGAATTTTCAATATGAAGCAAATCCACTTTTGTGTGCTTGTTTTCTTTTAAACCTTTGAGTATCCATATACTTATTTCACAAAGCTATAACGCTGGGTTTTTTTTCCCAGCCATGCAATTTTCAGCTCCCATTCACTTTCATTGCTAATGGTTGCTAAAGGCTATTAACTTAGTGAAATATGCCATGTCATATAACCAAGTCTCTATAGTATTCAATAAATGATACAAAACAACAGTTACCAATGAAAACTATAAAACAAAGTTTAATCAGTTTATTAATGGCAATAAGAAAACATTTTTGTTAACAGTTTTTATGTTTACAAGCTTAATTTGTAACAGTCTTATTGACTGGACAGTTTCATTGACATTTACAAGTTGAATGATTGAAGAAATAATGTAATGCTAAGAAGCAGCCAGGCCTTTTACATTGCTTTGCTATAATGCAAGGCATGTTGTAAGACATTTCTGCAAAAGGCACATTAGGAATGTCGTTTAACACATGAGAATTCTGTGCATAAACCTTGCAGCCCAAGGCTGTATGTTCCCACAGGTATAGTATGTAACTTTTTGATGGATGGAATGCAGCTTCTTTATAGATGATGGCAAAGTGACTCAGACCTCAGATTATTTTCTCTCTCTAGGATCCTAGGGGTAAGAGCACCCCAGTTTGGTTCCTGATTCTGCATCCTCAACACCTTACATCACTCCTAATCCTGCAATAGCAGGGGAAACAGATGCTCACAGATGAAAAATAAATGAAAGCGCAGACACAGACAGCAAAGTAGGGCTCATTGTTAGGTGAGCAGGATTATAAACATCTGAGCCTCAAGAAATAACCCAGACATTTGTTGAGTTAGAAGTAACTAAGACAAAAGTTTTGGGTGGAGTGACTAAACCAGGTGCCATAAATGATGTATGAAGTCCTCCAAATGATGTATCAAATAACCCAGATATTTGTTGAGTCTGAAGTAATTAAGACAAAAGTTTTGGGTGGAATGACTAAACCAGGTGCCATAAATGACGTATCAAATCTGAGCCTATTTGCCCAATTGCATTCCAGTTTACATGTTCCCTTTCCAGCTATTTTCCAGTACAAACTGAATCTGAGAGGTTGCTAAGACAACATACACGGTTCTTTTTTTAGAGGCATTGATAAACTGAACGTGTGTTATATCTTAGGTGCCCCAGCTGCTAAGGAGTATTATCAGCAAAAAAAATCTTGAGCCACTAAAATCCAATAAAATTAAGGGCAGTTGAGAATATTTAAAAAATGAATTCTTGTATGCCCTTTGGGGTCTCAACCCAGAGGCTGCACACCCCTGCTCTTATGGAATGAGGGCTGTTGACATGGAAATTATGCCAGAAGATAGCCCTAACTGCAATAAAGATGTGTGTCATTAGTGAAAATTACAACACAAGTTACCACAAACATAAGACAAACATTCCAGTAGGAACCTTCCCTTACATATTTACATAATACCCATCGTACCTACTATAGTTAGTTGCCGTTTTCCAGTTCAGTATAAGAATATATTCAAATGCCAGCTATGTGTTTAAAATGGATCAAACAGTGCAAAATGAGTTAACACATGAGCAGGATGCAGCTACAGTAGATTTGAGAAGTCTATTTTTTTTATATACTTAAAAAAATTGTAAATTCATAAACCATACATATATATATACGATTAGTTTGTCTTTTGTGCAGCAATTCAGAGCTCAGTGTCCCTGTATTTATGTGAATAAAATCCACGTTTTGATTGGTCAGCCAACTGTCGACGATAGTCCTCTTCTTCATCATCACTTCCATAGCTTCCCCTATGGTCTGTGTAGGACCAGCCTGGTGGTTTTTGAGGCTCTGGATGCCTGGAACTTGAAATGTAGTAAAAGTTAGAATTAAACAACTTTAAACATCCACAACCAGTAAAATAGCTCAAACCAGTTGTAGTTCTACACTACTGATCGGACAGTATGTTTTTGTTACTGACACTGTGATACAATGACAGCTGCCAGTTTCTGCAATTTTAATACACACATTCAAAGCGGAGTTCCACTCAAAAGGGGAAGTTCCGCTTTAAAGATTGGTCCCCCACTCCCAATTAAGGATTGCCACCTTTGGGGAGCGGGGGGGGGGGGGGTTCACGGTGACCGGTCCCAGAAAATGACGGGGCCATTCAGGAAATGCAGCACTACTCGCGCCTTGAAGCCGCAAGCTGCTGCAAAGTGCCCACACTGAAGAAGCCGGCGCTCGGATTACAGGACGGGCTGTGGAGGGGATAACGTGGGGATAGGCGAGTGGCTTTTTTTTTAAAAGTCAGCAGCTACAGTTTATGTAGCTGCTGACTTATTTTTTTATAGAGTGAGTGTAACTCCGCTTTAAAGACAGTGTACCAAATAATAACCTTTTGTCCTAAAAAAAAAGTGAGTTTGAGATGCTTCAAGTTTTATATGCAGGTCAGAAGGTGGTCAACTGGTTTCCTATAGGCATGTATGGTAATGCAGAGTCCATTTGACGCAAACAAAGTTCCATCATGCATGGATACTTCTAAATTGTGTCTGGGCATCCAGGCTTTAATGACCTCTGGTCTTGGGTTAAGTAGCAGTAGGTCCTTTACAACTATGTGCATCAGTAGCTTGCTGGAAAAGTCCTGAATTCTTTCATCAATGACATCTTTCTATGACACCTCTCAATACACCAATAACTCATAAGGAAACTGAAGGTCATGTTGAACACACATTTTTATAAAAGAAAAGAGTAAATAAGGAAGAATGCTAACAGCTGGAACAAGTAAGCAGGCTGGTTGTTCAGTTTTTTCAGACTTTACTGGCTGCAAGTTCTTTTAAACCAAGCTAGCAAAGGAAGCTCTCACTAGAGACTTCTGTCCAAATTGGTCTGCATTTGCATGTGTGTAAGCATCTCTCAAAAAAGGACTGACATGAAAGGTGAATATTAGTTATGTAAAGTGCTACATAATATGTAGATGTTAAAGTGTTACTAAACCCCGGACCCTGCATTCACTATATCTGGTCTCCCACAGTACACAGATCATGGAAATGAAAATATTTTAGTAAATATAAACTGCTAAATACCTTTTTTCATTAGCAGTTACAGCAGTCTTGTGACTTCAGCAGAGCACTGGTTAAAGCTTGTAGGAGACGTTTTCTTTCTACTCTAGGAGAATGTGAAACCTCTGACCCTCTGTCTGGACAGTGCTGATTGGCCCTATGCTGATGACATGCACTCTCCCAAGGAAAAAAAAAACCTCTCTAGCAATACACACCAAACTGACCATGTGCATGTGACCACAGGTTCAGTCTGTATCAGGTGGTCATTTCAACAAGAGGAGGGGCAGAGAAGACAGGATCAAACAGCGGTTTTACACAATGCAGAGGATTAACCCGTTAGATTCCACAGCGAGTATAACAAGCATGCTTTACTGCATATACAGTCTGATTTTACTGCTGTGGGTTTAGTAACACTATAAATGCAGTTCAATAGGGGAAGTAAAGAAAGAAAGAAAAGCTTTATACCAGCAAGTGTAAAAAGGGGAATATAATTATAATTACCATACCTTACTGCCTGTGATCGATTCTGGTCATTTTTCTGTGCTTTTATAGGTACCGCATAAATATCAGGAAGTTTCTGTGCCAGCTCCAACTTTAAATCAGAAAAGGAAAAAAAGGTCAACTGAACAGAACAGAAAGTGGATGGAAATATTACAAAGGCTAAAAAATATTTAAAGTGAAATAAATATATAGATTGGATAGAAGAAAGAATGCATAAGAACAGCAGGGTACAACAATTAAATTGAAAATGAAATGAAAGCCCCAAAAAATATTTGTTGGTTGCTATGGGTAACATAGGCCTATTGAGACAGCTCTGCCATCAGATACCTTTACTAGACTAGACTAGAGTCCCATAAATATTTCACAGTATAATGTGGTGCAGGAAACCCACAATCCGTGCATGTTTCTCACATTGCATTCAAATTGCACTACCCTTGCAATCTGCAGCGGGTGTCAGTGCAATCTTAACAACACCCCAAACGCAGGTCGTAAACTCAAAGTGCATTTGCTTGAACTGGATCTCATGGTATAAAATGACCATGTGATCTGGTTGCAGTGCGGTTCTGAAACAGATGCATGCACAACTTCGGTGAGCTGCAGTTTTATTTGAGCCCATTCAAAATGAATGGGCTCAAATTGCACCACACTGAATCGCATGTGAATTGCACAGGAATTAAGTGCGATTCCTGTGGGATTCATATGCGGTTCATAGTGTGAACCAAGTGTGAAAGCAATTTTGACTTACCTGTAAATTTGACCTGCAAATTCAATTTTAGAGTACAATACAGGACACAGGCTGGAATCATAGCTACTAGGATGTTCTCCAGCAATAAATCAAAGTGGGAAAATAGACAATGGTCAGAGACCCAGCTCAGAGTGCTTCTGTAAGAACATTGTTGGCCAAAAGCCTGGACATCCACCTGGAAGAATTTGGAGAATGTATGAACTGGAGACCAGGTGGTGGCCTTATAAAGCTTAGCAATGTGATTTACAGTTATGGTGATGTGCTAGATTTTCCTTGACTTTTGTAGCTTTGAGTAATGTAGGAATGACATCATCAGATATACACCTGTCCTTCCAGACCTGGGTTTCAACAGCTATGACATTAAAGCCAGTGACTGAGGAGTGCAATGGAGAAGGGGGCATTGAAACATAAGGTCTGTCATGTTTGGAGGAGGCCAGGGGTCGTCTCCTGGAAGCAATGAAAATCACCAGTTTCTTCTCTTCATTTATTTGCACAGCAGCAGAGGAAAGTGTACTGGAGGACAGGCATATATTAAGCTGAACGGAATTCCAGGCAATTACCAGATCATCTCATGGCAGTACCAGAGGAGCCTTGGTCCTGGCCACAAAACTACATGCCTAGAATCTCCCGTTTCTGACATAGGAGATTGAAGATGTTGGGATGAAGGGATTAATTGCTCTGGTCCAGGCAGTGACAATTGGAAAAATGTAACTTCCAATTGTCCACTCTCTAAACAGCAGAGATTGGCAGACAGTGCTTCTCTGCCCAGTAGATGATCGGACTTACTTCTTTCAAGGCTGACTAGTACCCCCCCCCCCCCCCTTATGACTGATATACTGTAGGCCACTACAGTGGCGATCTCAGTTTACACCCGGAGTATGCTCAGTGATGCAGAGCCAATTTATTGCTCTGAGCAATGAAGAATGAAAACAAATGTCCTCCCACTCGTAGGAATGAGGGTGACCCTTCATTGTAATGAAGGCTTTAGACTTGGTGAACTTTGTGTTCCAATATTACGCCAAAGGAAAGGTAGAATTTTGGCTTAGAAGTAATAGCCTGGAGGAGAATGATGGGGCGCTGTGCATTTAGAGGAGGTAGAAGCCCCTTAAGAGTAGGGTTTTAGAGTCTTGGAGAGAAAGAACTCTCCTCCTGTGACATCCTTTTTGAACATGTCGATTTCATCACCATAGAGGCATCCTCTTTTAAAGGGCATAGGAATGAGGAGTCTTTTACAGACAGCTTCCACTGACAAGACTTTTAGCTTTAAGGTTCTGCACATATGGATAGAAATGATCGCAATTCTGGAAATTTGTGCCCTGACTGGATCTAGGGCATCAACACAGAAAAGAAAGGCAAAAGACAGTGTTTGTGACTGTTCTGCCATAGTTTGGTCCTGGAAGACAGGATCCTGTTGATTGTTCATTGCCCTAGTCCAATTAGCTCTGGTTTGACAAACAGAAAATTCAGCAATGTAGCTGGCTGCAGGGCTGGACCTACAAGAATAAAAAGAGCTTTTTAAGAGTGTCTCAAATATTCTGTCTGCAGAATCCTTAAAATAAGGAACATCTTCTATATGCACAGTAAAAGGTTTGTTTAAGACTAAAATGGCAGGGTCAACTTTCAGAGCAGTCAACTTTTTAATGAATTCTATTTGCAACTGGATGTAGCTTGAAGGGGTGAAAATCATTCAGGAGAAACCCAATCATCAGAAATTACCCATTCTATTTGTTCATGAATAAGAAATGTCTATTTAGACTTTGCAGGTCTCTTAGTACCCAGAGAGACATGACAAGATGGAGGAGAATCAAGTCAACTATGCCAAGTTAGCATATCTACATTGGTAAGCATGTTGTGTGAAGCCATAGCATCAAGTGTACAAGAGTCTGGGGGGTGACAAATCTTCCATGGCCTCCTCTAACACTGCCTTTAGGTCTGCTTCAATGTTCCCTCTGTCCACCTCTACTACAGCAGCTACTGAAGTAGAGAAGGTTGAGGTGGGGAAGAAGCCTGGTGCTTTTAGGCTCTGGTCAGACATGGCTGTATTAAAGGCTTTAGTTGTTTTAGAAATTCTGACATAGTTGCAAAAAATCTGCCTTGGTCTGGTAGGTCACTTGTTGCATGCCTGAGACAGAATTAGAATCGGATGCAGAGACCAGTATTAAATTAGGTCCTAAATTAGGTTGAGTGTTTTGCCACCCAATCGCACAGTGAGAGTTTTTGCTGCTGTTCCCTTGAGTCTGGTTTCCGCCATTGCTAAAGTCAAATTACTACAAGTAGTGGAGATATTAAGTCTCATAATTGCGAAGTCCAAGAACAGGATAAACCTAATTTATCTACACATGTTGCTGATCCCTGTATGGGTAGTGGAGATTTTAAGTCTCATAATTGCTAAGTCCAATAACAGGATACACCTATCTTACCTTCACGTGTCGCTGATCCCTGTAAGGGTCCAGGCTTTGCCTGTCATAAAGGGCATATCCCTGGGGCGTTCTTCAGGGTCTGGGAACCATAAGAATGGACCACGGCCCTGTAGCTGTATAATACCATGGGGCAAATTACACACATTGCATTCAGCACCAAGCTGAGTCCCCAAGCTGGATCCAGTGCCCAAAGCAACATTGCACGCTGTCCCCACAGCGTGGGTTCTGGGTACAGTTCCTAAGGTATTAACAGAGTTACACTGATCTAGATTGCAGTACACTGAAGTTGAATAAAAATTTGAAATAAAAAGGAATCATTTACACAAAAAAACCTCTCCATAGGGAAGGTCTGTCACCTAAGGACTTAACAAAAAAAACAACTGAGGTTTAGGATTAGGGTAGGGTTATAGTGGTATGCTCAGGGGGCATGTCCAAAAGCTTTGCCAATGTCCAGTCACCTTACGATAGCAGCCTATAATCCTGGGACTATGAATATCCAGGCCTGTGTCCTGTACTACAGAATTAAGATAATTTTGGCAATACTTGATGTACTAGCCAAGCAGTTAAATCATACTGGAAGAGGGGCAAATTTAAATTTACTTCACTTATGATACACTGACATCCAATTTTAAAAACCTGGTGGGTGCAGCCTTTACCAGACTCAAAAGGCTTGATGGGGCTGAGGCTGATAAGGTAACTGTGTTTCAAAAGAGAAGGACTTCTGTATACTATTGATGAGCTTGCAGGCACAAACATTATTTGCACAGATTGTAAAGCTGCAGACGGACCTTCAGGGACTTGAGGGTCCATTTGTACAAGATGTGGGTCAGATGAGTGATAGGAACGGCGGTGTCACAGCTCCCTGTTAGGTAGGCCCAAGACCTGTTGAGAACTACCAGTGGGCTATTATCACAGCGGTTCGCAAACGGCAATCCCTCAGGGAAATATATCTTCCACCGGTGGCAAGTTATTCAAAAGCTTATGGCTGTTGAGATTTACAGAGCCTACATGGTGTTCATAGGGCATGTTGTATGGGCCTAATTTACCCTGTATATTCGGGGAATTTTTTGGAAATCCTCTTAGGAGGAGAATCTACATATATATATATATATATATATATATATATATATACGCTATCCTATTCAGGTATTTTTTTTGCTGTGACATAGCCACATCCTTATAAAAACCGCAAATAACCTTCTCAAATTGAGCAATTTTTGGAAACCCTTTACTGGGTATATTAAATTCAGGTATCTACGGCCTGCTATATGCTATATACACACTATATGTGTTTGAAATCCACGCATCGTGTATACCTTGTCCCTCACCCCCATATGCATTTTTGGAAAAGCATCAAGGACCTGATCTTAGTTCAAGTCGACAGGAGTCTTCTTGATCCTCATTGATGAATCATTTGGTACTGTGGACCTTGTTCCATTTGGGGTGGCTATCCAGGAAGTCCTTACATTTGAGAGGCGGGTATGATAGTCTCACCTTTGAGAAGCTTGTACATTCCAGGAGGTTCCTGATATATACTGGGAACACATCCACTGAATATACGGTTCATACAATATTAAGCAGGAAACCTACGGAAATCCAGGATAACTACTCCATCATTACACCACTCTGCCTTATATGGTGCTCTGTTGGCTAAGATGACCCTCAATTGAAGACGCTAAGTGTTTTTAAACATGATTTTATTTTTTTCATATGTACACCGTGCTCATGTTTAACCTCCTCATGATCCATGTGATCAAATAAAGTATTGTTAAATTCATTTGAATTCATACTACTCCGCGTGGATCCTTTAGAAACCTTCTTTTTCAGATAGGCGTGTTCTTGTCACACTATCATATTGTTTAAGATGAGTGCTAGGCCCTGCCCCATCTTCCCTGTCATGTAGACCTGGACATAGCTTATTTCTATTAGTCAGGGGATGCACAGTGATTGTCTCTGCTTGGCTGGTAGTTGACTGAGGAACCTGAAAACTTTTCTTACAGAGGGGTCCTTGAGGATTTTGTCAACCACTGTGTGCTTAGATAGACTATTAGTAACCTCAGCCATTAGTGGACAAGTGAAAGGCCCCTTACATACGGGAATTAATGTGTATCAACAGCACCATAGCTGCAGACAAATGACATGATCGCACAGTCCTGCAAAAATGTGTTCTTACACCCATGTAGGCTGGCGAAGGATCAGCTATATGGCCCCCCCCCAGTTGGAATTGATCTGTGTGTGTGTAACCCCCTTGTAAGCTATTTTTTTTTCCATTCCTTGAAAACAAACAAGTTTGGTTTGGTGGTGATAAAAACACAAAGAACATGCCATTATGCAGCCCATGCTCTCATGCAGTGGATATGCTGAAAAAAAAACATGATTTTTACGGTCATTCATTCTTACCCGTGCATTTTGTGCCTCATGTAACTCCTGCATCCTTTGTTGTCTTGCACTGAGGTCCATTTTCTCAAAAATTTTCACTTTCCCTAAAACAGACTTGGGGGCATTTGTCACTTCCTCAACTGGGCCTTCATTAATATTTCCCACAGGAGGGGGTTAACACTGACAGGAGGCTTTATTATGGGTTTTGTAGCAAGCACAGGTTTAACAGCCGTTGGGGGTGGAAGAGCTTTGCCAGAACCTGCTGAGGCTTCACTGCTGGCTACACTAGAGCTACTCCGTTTAGCATCATAACTGCGAGGTGAATCGTACAGTTCGTCTTTGCTTTGTGCTTTGACCTGCAAAGAAAATATAAAATTTGCTTTTATTTAACTACTGCAGATTACGACATAAGATATACAGGTATGGGATTCATATCCACGAAAGCAGTATGATCATAGCTTGACTTCTAATATGGTTATACCTGAAACTCAGCCCTTCAAAAACTGTACAAGCAGTGAGGATAGCAAGATTTTAGAATGGGGAATGAGGAGCACACAAATGGCAGAAAAAAAAAAAAAAAAAAAAAAAAAAAAGATCTGCACTTTTTTTTAGATATATTAACAGTACATACCTTGGGAGGTTCAGGTTTAAATGATGGTGGTGGACTGGGCTCTCGTAGCACTTCTCTGCTGCCTGCACCTTTCAGCTGACTCCTTGGCTCTGGAACTGGTTTTACTGTGGTCTGAAAAATATCAGAGTACAAACAAATATCTCAAAATGAATATTAGCAAATATATGAGCAATGTCCAGTCAATTCAAAGGCTATTTATATCAGTTTTGACTTCTCTAGAAATGTATGATGGTTTTCAAACAACTCCCATCACAAAGTTATCTGCACAGTATTCTCAACAGTGCTACGCTAGCCCTACAATTCCCCATTAAGCTTATCTAGACTATATATCTTCTTTTAAGGCTAGCTCCACTTTCCTGGGAAAAAAAAAACAAATAAAAAAATAAAGCATGTACAATTGCTAAACAAGCCATAATGTAATTAAATGTTAATAAAAATTAAATTTCCTTTTCAATCTGCAGCGCCATAATTTTCTGTAAAATTCAATGCAATATAGCATCCTGGAGGCGTTCTGTTACACAGCTGATGCACAGAAGTTCCCAAAAAATGTTATTTCCTGTTTGTATGATTGGCTCACTGATTTTCCCAGAATTCTGCACTAAGATACAAGTCAGGTTTTAGCCATCATATGTAGCATAAAAATTATTATTTAGTGAGATACTCCCAAAGGCCTAATTACTTTTTAACCACTTGCCCTCCGGAAGATTTACCCCCCTTAATGACCAAGTCATTCTTTTGCTGTTTGGCACTGCGCTAGTTCAACTGGTAATAGCACGGTCATGCAATGCTGTACCCACACAAAAAATTTATGTCCTTTTATTCATAAAAAAAGAGCTTTCTTTTGGTGGTACTTGATCACCAATCAGTTTTTTTTATTTTTTGTGATATAAACGAAAAAAAGACCGAAATTCTTGAAAAAAAAAAAAAAAAGATATTTTTTACTTTCGGTTATAAAACATATATAGTAAAGTCAAAGTTAGTCATAAATTTAGTCCAAAAATATATTCTGCTACATGTCTTTGGTAAAAAACAAATTCCCAATACATGTATATTAATTGGTTTGTGTGACAGTTATAGCGTCTGCAAACTATGGTATATACAGTCAGGTCCAAAATATTGGGACATCGACACAAGTCTAAAATTTTTGGCTCTATACACCACCACAATGGATTTGAAATGAAATGAACAAGATGTGCTTTAACTGCAGACTGTCAGCTTTAATTTGAGGGTACTTGCATCCAAATCAGGTGAACGGTGTAGGAATTACAACAGTTTGCATATGTGCCTCCCACTTGTTAAGGGACCAAAAATAATGGGACAGAATAATAATCATAAATCAAAACTTTCACTTTTTAATACTTGGTTGCAAATCCTTTGCAGTCAATTACAGCCTGAAGTCTGGAACGCATAGACATCACCAGACGCTGGGTTTCATCCCTGGTGATGCTCTGCCAGGCCTCTATTGCAACTGTCTTCAGTTCCTGCTTGTTCTTGGGGCATTTTCCCTTCAGTTTTGTCTTCAGCAAGTGAAATGCATGCTCAATCGGATTCATGTCAGGTGATTGACTTGGCCATTGCATAACATTCCACTTCTTTCCCTTAAAAAACTCTTTGGTTCCTTTTGCAGTATGCTTTGGGTCATTGTCCATCTGCACTGTGAAGCGGCGTCCAATGAGTTGTGAAGCATTTGGCTGAATATGAGCAGATAATATTCCCGAAACACTTCAGAATTCATCCTGCTGCTTTTGTCAGCAGTCACATCATCAATAAATACAAAGAAGCAGTTCCATTGGCAGCCATACATGCCCACGCCATGACACTACCACTACTATGCTTCGCTGATGAGGTGGTATGCTTAGGATCATGAGCAGTTCCTTTCCTTCTCCATACTCTTCTCTTCCCATCACTCTGGTACAAGTTGATCTTGGTCTCATCTGTCCATAGGATGTTGTTCCAGAACTGTGAAGGCTTTTTTAGATGTTGTTTGGCAAACTCTAATCTGGCCTTCCTGTTTTTGAGGCTCACCAATGGTTTACATCTTGTGGTGAACCCTCTGTATTCACTCTGGTGAAGTCTTCTCTTGATTGTTGACTTTGACACACATACACCTACCTCCTGGAGAGAGTGTTGTTGATCTGGCCAACTGCTGTGAAGGGTGTTTTTCTTCACCAGGGAAAGAATTCTTCGGTCATCCACCACAGTTGTTTTTCCGTGGTCTTCCGGGTCTTTTCGTGTTGCTGAGCTCACCGGTGTGTTCCTTCTTTTTAAGAATGTTCCAAACAGTTGTTTTGGCCACGCCTAATGTTTTTGATATCTCTCTGATGGGTTTTGTTTTGTTTTTTCAGCCTAATGATGGCTTGCTTCACTGATAGTGACAGCTCTTTGGATCTCATCTTGAGAGTTGACAGCAACAGATTCCAAATGCAAATAGCACACTTGAAATGAACTCTGGACCTTTTATCTACTCATTGTAATTGAGATAATGAGGGAATAACACACACCTGGCCATGGAACAGCTGAGAAGCCAATTGTCCCATTACTTTTGGTCCCTTAACAAGTGGGAGGCACATATGCAAACTGTTGTAATTCCTACACCGTTCACCTGATTTGGATGTAAATACCCTCAAATTAAAGCTGACAGTCTGCAGTTAAAGCACATGTTGTTTGTTTCATTTCAAATCCATTGTGGTGGTGTATAGAGCCATAAATGTTAGAATTGTGTTGATGTCCCAATATTTATGGACCTGACTGTATATTGGAATTTACACAACTTTTACATTCTGACTGCCTATCACATTTCTTGAGATGCTAAAATGCCAAGGCAGTACAAAAAAAACCCAAATGACCCTTTTTTGGAAAGTTTACACCCCAAGACATTTGCTGAGAAGCATGCTGAGTCCATGGAACATTTTTTTTTTTTTGTAGCCAAAGTTGTCAGTTAAATGATATATTGCGCATACATGCCATGGCTATATGTGGAATAACACCTCAAAACACATTCTGCTACTTCTCCCGAGTATGGGGATGCCACATGTGAGGGACTTTTTGGCAGCCTAGCCACATACACGCCCCTCACAATCCAATGACCACCTCCAGGCTTTCAAAGATTTCCTCATATCACTTCCTCACTACTATCACAGTTTCGGAGGCCCTAAAATGCCAGGATAGTACAGACATCCCCCCCATCCCCAAATGACCCCTTTTCAGAAAGTACACACACTAAGGAATGGGATAAGAGGCATGGTAAGTATTTTGCAGATATCATTTTTGTCACAGGGTTTTGAAAAAGAATAAAAGAAAAGAAAAAATAAATTTTCATTCTTCGTTTTACAAACACTTGTGGCAACAAATGAGATCTGCAAAATACTCATCATTCCTCTTATCACATTCCTTGGGGTGTCCAAAAGAAGTCATTTTGGGGGGGTGCTTCTATTATCCTGACATTTCAGGGCCAACATTAGAAGCTTATGCCAGACATCACCCACTTTTCTAACTACTTGAAGACCAAGCCTTTTCTGACACTTTTTGTTTACTTGAAAAAAGTTTTTTTTGCTACAAAATTACTTTGAACCCCCAAACATTATACATTTTTTTAAAAGCAGATGTCCTAGAGAATAAAACAGCGGGTGTTGAAATTTTTCATGCCACACAGTATTTGCGCAGTGATTTTTCAAATGCAAATTTTTTGGAAAAAATACACTTTTTAGAATGTTTAATGCACAAAACACAATATATTGCCCAATTGTCTGCTAAAGTATAAAAGATAATGTCGAGTAAATGGATACCAAACATGATATGCTTTAAAACGCCTGTGCAAAGGCGTCAAATTAAATTTGTAACATCCAAACGAGACGCTTTAAAAGTCTCTACAGGTCACCACTTCAGATTTACACAGGAGGTCTAATGCTAGAATTACTGCTTTCTATCTGTCGTTCGTGGTGATACCTCACATGCATGGTGCAATCTCTGCTTACATACCGCCATGGGATGCTTGCGTTTGCTGTTGCGCACGAGCATGGGGCGGGGGGTGAATTTTTTTTTTAATTATTTATTTAGACTATATTAGACTGTATCTAGATGTCTCATTTACCCTTAAAGCATCTGATCACACCAAGATCAGTGTGATCAGATGCTTTCCCAATTTTAAAATATCGCTGTTTATATCTGGCGAAACGGAAAATGATCAAATGCTCGTAGCTTCCGGTCTCTTAGACCATAGAGATGATTGGAGGCATTGCAGTCTCTGATTAGCTCCACTGTCAGCCAGCGGAACTGCCTGCTGCATTTTTGGGTTCCCCGGGGGGACGGGAGAGCCCAAGAAAAAGGCTGCGGGAGGGGTTGGGTAGTCCCTTCCCGTTGCTTGTAAAAATGATCATGCGGCTAATTAGCAGCAAGGATTATTTTTACATGAAAGACGACCACAGCTGGAAAAAACGATACCAGGACTCAAAAGTCCAGCGACGTACCAGTACATTTCTGGCCCTTGTTGGGTATATATGTAACAGCAGAGAACATGGTCATATGATGAATCAGGTCTGTGGACCAATATGACTGCAATTTATTCTTTTTTGTAAGTTGTTGAGGGTTAGGCCCAAAAGATTTTTAAAATTCAGAAACTGTGATAGGTTTCCATGTGAATTGTGAGGCAAGAACTAAATTTGGGTGGGCAGCAATGTATTGTGCATATAAATTGCTTTGGCCCACAATCATCTGATAAAAATCTTCTGTGCTGGTAGCGAACGGGGCCAATCCTGCTAACACTGCATTTTTGGGGACACTATATAAAGGAGGCACTAGTATAGTTCTCTTTATGATTGATCTGTACAAACACTATACTAGTAATGACGGTGATCAGCGACCAATAGCGTGAGTGCGACAGTGTGCGGGCAATCTAACGCTAGACGACCCTGGCTGGGAGGAGCGCTAACTGACCCTGAGGCTATCTAATGTCGCTAGTGGCAGTAATGCAGTGATCAGTGAAAAATTCTATATACTAACACTGCATTACTGGCACTGGCTAAGTGAAGGGGTGATCAAAGGGTTAATAGGGGCAATTTTTTTTTTACACTTTGCATTGCAGCAGCAATGAAGATCATTGCTCTGCAGTGCAAAGCTTTCTTTGAACTGTCATTAATTTGTTAAGTTTAATATAATAGTGATCTGTGATTGGCTCCAGCTGGTCACATGGTACAGGGTGCTGTGATTGGCCCCATGTGACATGTGAGAGCTGTGGACCAATCACAGCTCACCAGGAAGAGAAGCAAAGCTTTTATGAATCAGATTGATTCATAAAAGCTTTGTTGTCATTGGGATCATGTGATCGCATAGTGATCACATAATCACTGGGTCCCGATTACTGGGATTCGCAGTACAGAGAACGTGGGGGCGTAGGGTGTGCAGTGCCCGTGTTGGCAAAAGACCAGTGGTGTATGGGTACGTTGCTGGTCCTGTAGCTGCCGCCAGTCCACAGTACATTGCGGGCAGCGGCCCGAAAATGGTTAAGGGATGCAGACCCAGCAATTTTCCTCATAAGAATACTGCAAGTGCATCATTATCATCATCATTAAAAATGGAAAAGTTACTTCCGTTCAGATCTACTATGCACATTCATATAATTAAACAAATAGCTTTTTTCTTCAGAGCAGAAATGGGTAGGAATCTGCAACAAAGTTTGTTAGAATCTTTAAAATGTACATTGATCGGAGGGTGATTACTATCCTCAGTGATACATTGTAGTGATGTTACTGATTTAATTTACCTCTTCTGGGCGGACAGGTTCAGAAGATCGACTAATGGCAGAAACTGGTACAGGATCATCAACAAGTTCATCAAGTTCATTGTCTGTATATGCTCCTCCTTCACCATCTGTGTCTTCGAAGTCACTGATCAATCGGCTGTCACAGCTCAAGTAGTCTGCTCCCATTGCAGTCAGGTAGGACATGCGATCTTCATCCTCATCTGCTCCTTCTGCCTATTTTTTTAATTGGACATTTCAAGTGGCAAAATTAATTATCTTAAAGTGACTAACATTTTTCTCTTAAATAAACAAGTTATATTGACCTGCTCTGTGCAACAGTATTGCACAGAGCAGCCCCAAACGTCCTCTTCTAGAGTCCCCCGTCGGCACTTCAGCCTCTTCCTCTTTTATTTGTGCCACCATAGAAAGCCACTTCCTGGCACATGTGTACTTGCTCCTGAGCTGGGCTCTGCATGTCCATCGATGCAGAGCGTGGCTTATCTCCGCCCCCACCCCTCCCTCCTCACTTGATTTGACTGACAGTGTCAGCAGCTAATGGCTCCCACTGCTCTTGGTCAAGCCTGTGAGAGAGCGAAGAGAAGTCCTGCAGACAAGCACAGTGCTGGATCAATACAGGACTCAGGTAAGTATATAGTATGGGGGGGGAGAAGACAGCAAAAAAAAAAAAATATTAGATATTCTAACCCTTACCCATTCTATCAAAAGAAAACACTTTAGATAGCCAGAGCAAGACGCTTCCACTGACAACAGTGGAAAAAGCTCAAAAGTAAAGTTGGCCATACAATCTGATCAACATTCGTCCAGCCCAGCTGGCAATGACCAAATTTCGATCAGTGAGTGAGCTCCCGTGCTTGCCAGAAGTCAATTGTTTATTGACTACTGTAGAAGAGACATTTTCAAAAATGTTCTACTGATAATCAGCTGCAGGTTCCGATCAGTGTATTCTGACGGGGGGATTCCTCCATCTACCTTGTTTGTGTGGATGGATGAATTTATTAATTTTTTTATCTTTCAGTCCACTGGCTGAATGAAAAAAAAAAAAAACCCCAAAAAACTGTGTAACTAGTTTAAGCCCTCAGCTTTTAGATCTGTGGGTGCACTGGCTGTTTAGCTTGCCCTGGAACTTGTGCAGCCTTCCAAAAAGAAGTTAAACTACGACAGTTACCTTTCCTTCTGACACCCAGACTGCCTCTGTCTGTTGATCTTTAATCATATCCTTCAGGCTTCCATACCAACTGTCATTAGATGAATTTAGGTTAACAGTAGCTGTAGGATAAAAAAAAAATCAATATGAGCAAACATATTAGTTCCAAACAAAAGAATATACTTCAAACAACAAATTAACAAAAAAACATCCAACTTATTTGTAAGGACAACAAATGTAAGGGACAGAAAAATAAACATAAAATGTGCACACACCAACTATGATGTATGAGGCGAGAATTTCATATATCACCATCTCCACTGCTACCTTGATGAGCCTGATCATCCAGTCAGAGAGTACAGACGGTACAGAATATTCTAATGGCATGGCTGATCTTCATATATTTAAAACACACTTTCTTTGAGTGCTTTAAAATAGCAGTGTAAAAAAAAAAAAACCCCCAAAACAAAAAAAAAAAAAAAAGCTACAGCACGTATTTGCTACAAGGTCCAGGGGCGGACTGACAACTCATGGGGCCCCCGGCCAATAGGGGATCATGAGGCCCCTGTGTCCTTGGCCAAACTCAAAAAAGCCTATGAAAAAGGTACCAGGGGCATCTCATGGGGCCCCCTACTGTCCCCGGGCCCTCGGGCAGTGCCTGAGTTTCCAAATGGTCAGTCCGCCCCTGACAAGGTCTGTTATTTCAGCCATTACAATTTACACCTCCCTTTAATGAAAATAACAGTAATTAAGAAATGCTAAAGCTCAGTGAAATAAGCCTCGTGTGAAGTAACCCATAGCAATCAGATTTCATTTATAGAATATCATTCAAAAACTATTACAGTCACTGACATTTTTGGCTAGAGTGGTTCATTGGTTCCCGTTCCTGCCAGCTACCCTGCCTGTAGTGCTCTACACGGCTATTGAGTGAAAAACACAAAGTTTATATTTCATTAGCATGTTAACCACTTTCCCTCCTGAGGATTTACCCTCCTTCTTGACCAGGACATTTTTTGCCTTATGGCGCTGCGTTATTTTAACTGACAATTGTGCGGTCATGCAACGCTGCATCCAAATGAAATTTACGTCCTTTTTTTTCCCACGAATTGAGCTGTCAGTGGTATTTGATCGCATGTGCGTTTTTTATTTTTTTGTGCTTTAAAAAAAAAAAGTCCGACAATTTTGAGGAAAAAAAAAAAAAAAAAAATAATATTTTTGATTTTTTGCTATTAATCACTTCTTATCCGGCCCATGTGTATAAACGGCCGGACGGGAGCATTGCAGTAGCGGGTGGCCATTTATAAATGTCCTGCCTGTGTGCGCTCCCTAGGAGTGCGCAGCATCGCGATCCGGTGTCCGTTGTGTCCTCTGGACACAAAGGAACAACGATCGCTGTACGGGACCTCTGTGTGAGGTCCTGATCATGTGATCACTGATTGGCCAATCAGTGATCACATGAATAGTAGTAAGCAAGATTTCACTTCTGACATCATTACTTAATACTAGTGAAATCTGGGAATGATCACAGAGGTCACATGGTACAAGGCTATTCACAACAGCCTTGTACCATGTGACAAGCTGTGAGCAATCACAGCTCTCATAGTATTTCTCAATGGCTGCAAGAATGCAGCCAGAGAGAAGGAGAAATGATTGCATTTACAGCCTTTATGGGTGTAAAAGCAATCAGTGTAAAAAAAAAAAAAAATCTTCATCACACCCCACAAGTAGTACAGTGTCACCATGGTGACACTGTACTGCTAGGGTGACAGCATGTTAACCAAAAATTATATTTTTTTATATTTGTTTTATTTTTTTTTTTTTACTAAAAGATATATGAATACATTTTGGCCAAGATTTATGAAGAAAGATTATTTATTTGCAACATTTTATAAGAAAAACACTTTTTTTTTTTTTTAAAGTTTGGACTTTTTAATTTGTATAGCAAAAAAATAAAAATCCCAGTGGTGAATAAATACCACCAAAATAAAGTTTTATGTTTCTCAAAAAAATGCTAAAAAATTCATATGGGTACAGTATTGCATGACCGCGCAATTGTCATTCAAAGTGTGATAGCACCGAAAGCTGAAAATTGGCCTGGACAGGAAGGGGGTGAAAGTGTCTGGACTTGAAATGGTTAAACAAGTCCAGTAAAAAAAAATGAAAAAAATGTAAAAATCAAATTTCATTTAAATTTAGGCCAAAATTTCCTAGATTGTAAGATCGAAAGAGCAGGGCCCTCGAACCCCTCGTGTATTGTATTGTTACTGTCTTGTCTCATGTTCTGTCCCCCTTGCTACTGTACAGCGCTGAGCATACCCTTTGGCGCTATATAAATACTGTTTAATATAATAATAATACTACATGTCTTTGCTAAAAAAAAATCCCAAATTAATTGGTTTATGTGAAAGTTACAGTGTTTACAAATGGCGGTATATATACTGGAAATTTATTAATTTTTTTTACTAGTAATGGCAGTGATCAGCGACTTATAATGGGACTGCGGCAGGCATTCTGACACTGGGGGGAACTGACTTGGTGTCAATGACATCCCCAGTGACACCAATACAGCCATCCAGAGCAGTGTGTCCGAGCTGACAGGGAGGATGACTGTTCATAAACAAAGCAGCCCTCCTCCCCCTCGGAGAGCCTCTATAATCACCGGGCCCCGGTGGGGAATCACCGGACTTTACCCGGTGATTGACAGCTTTGGTCGCGCATGGCGGAGCGCGTAGGGCATGTGCCCCCTACCCAGAAATGCAAATATATACGTGATTTTGCATACCCCTGCTGCCCTGTAGAAGTATATTTACTATAGAGCAGCGGGGAAGAGGTTAAAAAAAGTATTATTTACCTGTAATCAGATGACTACATGTCTTCTTAAGTTTATTTGCTTGGTCATATAGTTTCCGGGAGCTTTTGTTTGACTGTGGACACAGTCTTTGTCTGATGGTTTTCACTCCTTGCTTACTGTCTGGGTTAAACAACACAACTATAGGGAACCACTGTGTATAGTTCAACAGGTCCACAGCTTTTGGTGTAACATCCATAAGAGCATGTTTGTCCTTAAAAAAAAACAAAAGGCAAAGAAGGGTGGGTATTAAAAGTTAGTTCAATTCAAACAGCTGCAAAAAGCAACACAGAACCTGAAAGTCGGCATTTATTGTTCCTTCAAGAAGCACACCATTGACAGTTACGCGTGACACCTGCATAAGAATGCCCATGAAAAATGTGATTATGGTAGCAGATGAGACTTTGAGTTTGATGGTTTGACAACATCCTCCAGCCATTCCCTAAAACCGGTCATAGAGGGATCGAATCCCGGCCAGCTTAGCAGAGCCCGGCTAAGATTCAATCCATCTATGGGCAGGCTGATTGTACTAAAGTCAATCTATTAATTGATTGCCTGTTGGATTTGCAGCTATAGCTATAGCTGCTAGCAGTGATCTCTGTGTTCTGCCAGCAGGGAAGGCTCCCCGCCGGGCAGGACACAATGATGCTGCAGGAGGGAACAGTATTGATGGAGGAGTCAAGCAATTTTGTATAATTGTATAATCTATGGCTTTCGTAAGTCACTGCATAACCATGTTGTGATGTAGGTGCCATTGGATGAAACAGGGTTACCAGGGGAACCAATACTACCAGAAGTTTACTGGATGAAGAAGATCATCCAGGCACCCTAGCTCTTAAAGAAAGAACTAAGATCGATAGCTGTACAGGAAAGCAACACACAACAGCAATAATCAACAGGCAGTCTTCGCTTCAAACAGGTACTGCACTCCCATACAAGTCTATACATAGCATTCCCATACAAATCAATTGAAGATAAAATGCACCTGCCAATTAATTCTGAATGATCTCATAAGTGTCTCTGAAACTGATGCCATCGGCACAAGCCCAAAGCCGGTGAACACAGGACCTAAAGCAACGAATAGCAGCCCAGACACTGTCAAATTTAAAGGAGCATTATTTCAAGCTTGTAATGTCTGTTAAATCCCTTAGGGCAGGCCTTGAAATTTCCACTCGCCTGCTCGCCAATGGCGAGTGGAAATTATGGTGGGGGCGAGTGTGTCCCCCAAGGGCGTATTTGCCATGATGCAAACAAGGTGCTTGCCTAGGGCGGCACTTTTTAGGGGGCAGCGCAGCGGCAACACCACCCCCCCTTTCCCACGGAAGGGACACTTAGTACAGGGGCGGGCTGCTGTGTCTTACCTGGGTACGTGACTCCGTGCCCCAGTTCCACGTCAATCCAGTCCACAAGGCGCTGCTGGAGGAGGGGTAGGGAGGTTGTCAGCGGGTCCGGTGTCTTCATTTCCCTGGATCGCTATGTGTAGGCGGGATGACATGCCGCCCCTGTCATCTTGCCTCACCCCCAGGATCACTCAACAGCCTATGGCAGCTTGTCCCTCCCTCTGCAAGCTCCGCCTCCTCGCCGATGATTGGACGCCGGAACTGTAGCTCAGGAAAGGCACACACGCAGCCAATCACCGGCGAGGAGGCAGAGCTTAGAGCGGAGGAGCCGAGCAGCAGCACGAAGATCAAAGAAGTGAGGGAACATCCGGTGAAAGTGAAGATGAGAGCGGCCGGAGAAGGAAGACAGCTGACCGGTAAGTGTCTGTGCCGTGCAGATGGTGCTGCTGCTGCAGCCAGGTATGCTGGCTGTGGATGGGAGAGGGAGGGAGCGAGCCCTGGCTGGAGCAGAGGTCAGCAAGGTAAGTATCATTGGTGTCAGTGGGAGAAATAGTGCCCCGTCATTGGTGTCACTGATACCAATGATGGGGCACTATTTCCCCCCCACTGACACCAAGGTTGGGGCACTATTTCCCCCCCAATGACACCAACAATGGGGCACTATTCCTCTCCCCACTGACACCAACAATGGACACTATTCCTCCCCCCACTGACACCAAGGATGGGGCACTATTCCTCCCCCCGCTGACACCAAGGATGGGGCACTATTCCTCCCCCGACTGACACCAACGATGGGGTACTATTTCCCCCCCCCACTGACACTGATGATGGGACACTATTCCCCCCCCACTGACACCAATGATGGGGCACTATCCCCCCCCCTACTGACACCAATGATGGGGCACTATCCCCCCCCCCCCCCAATGACACCAATGATGGGGCACTATTCCCCCCCCCCCCACTGACACAAATGATGGGTCCCCCCCCCCCCCCCCCGACACCAATGATGGGGCACTATTCCCCCCCCCCCCCCACACTGACACCAATGATGTACATGTGTCTGTGTGTACATGTGTCTGTGCGTGTGTATTTCTGTGTATGTACATGTATCTGTGTGTATGCGTGTCTATATGTGCCTGTATGTGTGTGTGTGCATGTGTCTCTGTGTGTGTATGTACATGTCTGTGTGTGTGTACAGGTCTCTCTGTTTGTGTGTGTTTGTTGGTGGCGAATAACTCTTAAGGCCTGGCTAGTGCCTCAGGACTTTTCACATTTTAAGCCCTGCCTTAGGGGACCAAGTGCATGTCACACTGGACCCTGCTCCGATCTATCCCCATGACTGCTGTGCTGATTTGTCCATTTATAATAGCAAATGAACAATCAGCTTAGAGAGGAGGTGGGGGGGGGGGGGGCTCAGTGCTCTGATGTAACTCCCCCACAGGAATGCCCATAAAGTGGATTTCATACAGGGATGGAACTACAGCATTGAAATAATAAATAATTTGTTGTTGAACCACTGGATGGATGTTTACGGGACCAAAAACTATGTGTACCAAGTTCCCTAAGATATTTAATGTAGATTTTTATCTTCTTCAAAATTTCCAATTTTCCTCTTTGAGCCAAAGCCATCTGAGTTTAGTTTCATGCTAGTGTAGCACATTTAGTAGAACTTGAACCATACAATGAGAGCAATTTTATTTATTATTATACAGAATTTATATAGCGCCAACAGTTTGCGCAGCACTTTACATAATGAAGGTAGACATTACAGTTACAATACAACTTGGTACAAGAGCTTACAATCTAGGAGGAAGGGTTGAGTGATACAAAAGATATTTACATGATTGTTTTGTGCAACCCTACTGTATCTACAATTGTAACATCATGTAGTCATAAATGGATCATTTTAAAAGCCTTAACTGGATAATTATAAAAATTAAATCTCATAATATTCTGGTTTACAGAAGGAAAAGATTAAGAAGAAATATAAAAAACAAGTTTACATTCTATACATTCAGGAATGTACATACCTGTTCAATGATCTGTCTAACAGTATTCAGCCTCACTACACCACTTGCCCTTTCCGAACCAGCATCTTTTGGCTCTGTCTCTGGAAGAGCAAAATAAAGGGATAGAGAGATTATTTACTTTCAGATAAGACAAGTGTAATACAATGTACGAATGACAGGAGCAAATTTACTCACTTGCTATTTGAAACAAATCTGGCATATCATTTGCTAGCTTCTCCATTGCTACATCAGCAATTGGGCCAAACAACACAACCGGTCTTTTAAAGCCAGCTGCAAAGAAAAAAAAAAAATTAAGAGCTTAATTAATGCCATCTTTGTGTATATTTTTGAAGACAATTGCAGTATGAATATACTTTGTGATTTTACCATCAAAATACATTTTTATATCTTTGTCCTTCATCTGTTATCCCTGATAAGCTTTACAAAGAAATTTGTAGAAAGGGAATCATGAATAATATTGTTAGAAAAAGCATTTTCCTTTAGGCTGAAATATTAAATGATATACCTGGTAGAATAAGTGGTGCGATGTTCACTAGTGGAGATGAACAAGCTGTATTGTACAAACTATAAAACCCAAATTTTGCATATGAAACATAACAAAAACAAATGAAGAGCTCCTGATCGGTTACTAAAAATCCCGATCACATGTCAGTACACACTCTACACTCAACTCATCTTGTTTATGATGATCACATGATCCAAAGCCATGAATGCTCAGTACTGCATTACAACTACAATACATCAGGTTCGTTTGACTATGTAAGACATATTTAAAGCATTTGTAAGGTCAATTTCTTTTAAAATAACAAACAGGTTTATACTTACCTGTTCTGTGCAGCGGTATTGCAAAGAGTGACTCCTGATCCTCCTATTCTCGGATCTCCTGCCAAGCTCCTGGCTCCTCCTCTTCTTCTTGTACAACCATTGGAAGCTGCTTCCTATTGTGGTAAACCTGCAGGCTTGATCCTGAGCTACACTGCCTGTGTCTATAGACACAAACAGCGAGGCTCACCCCTCATTTTGCTGAAACTTAATTGCAGCAACTCAAAACTTAGAGAGGAGGTGGGGGGGGGGGGGGGGCTCAGTGCTCTGATGTAACTCCCCCACTCAGTAGTTTGTATGGCCCCCAGGTGCTTGTATGCATGCCTGACAACATTGGGGAATGCTCCTAATGAGATGACAAATGGTGTCCTGGGGTATTTCCTCCCAGATCTGGACCAGGGCATCACTGAGCTCCTGGACAGTCTGAGGTGCAACCTTGCGGCATCAGAAGGACAGAAAAATGATATCCCAGAGGTGTTCTATTGCATTTAGGTCAGGTGAGTGGGGGCCATTCAATGATATTAATTTCTTCATCCTCCAGGAACTGCCTGCATACTCTTACCACATGAGGTCGGGCATTGTTGTGCACCAGGAGGAACCCAGGATCCACTGCACCAGTATAGGGTCTGAAAATGGGTCCAAGGATTTCATCCCGATACCTAATGGCAGTCAGGGTGCCATTGTCTAGCCTGTAGAGGTCTGGGCGTCCCTCCATGGATAGGCCTACCCAGACCATCACTGACCCACCACCAAAATGGTCATGCTGAACGATGTTACAGGCAGCATAACATTGTCCACGTCTTCTCCAGACCCTTTCATGTCTGTCACATGTGCTCAGAGTGAATCTGCTCTCATCCGTGAAAAGCAGAAGGCGCCAGTGGCGGACCTGCCAATTCTAGTGTTCAATGACAAATGCCAATCGAGCTCTAGGGACATTCAAACCAGTGGCCTGCTGGAGGTCATTTTGTAGAGCTCTGGCAGTGCTCCTCCTACTCCTCCTTGTACAAAGGAGCAGATACCAGTCCTGCTTATGGGTTAAGGACATTCTACAGCCCTGTCCAGCTCTCCTAGACTAACTTCCTGTCTCCTGGAATCTCCTCCATGCTCTTGAGACTGTGCTGGGAGAAAAACAGCAAACCTTCTGGCAATGGCATGTATTGATGTACCATCCTGGAGGAGTTGGAGTGTCTGTGCAACATCTGTAGGGTCTAGGTATCGCCTCATGCTACCAGTAGTGACACTGACTGCAAAACTAGTGAAGAACGGTCAAAAAAAGAGGAGTATGGAAAAAAATGTCAGTGGCCTCCACCTGTAAAACCATTCCTGTTTTGGGGGGTCATCTCATTGTTGCCCATCTAGTACACCTGTTGCTAATTTCATTAATACCAAAGCAGCTGAAACTGATTAACAACTCCCTCTGCTACTTAATCGACCAGATCAATATCCCAGGAGTTTAAATGACTTAAATCTATACTCTGATTAAAAAGTACTCCTTTAATTTTTTTGAGCAGTGAGTACTCCTTTAATTTTTTTGAGCAGTGTACATTGGGGGTGAGGGGGCAATAAACATACTGAAACTTTTTTTTACCTTAATACAGGGAAAAATGTTTAGGCTTTAAAACCATTTTAAACCCAGGGCACCATTACCACCAGCAGAAAGTGGTGTATCACAAACTAGGAATGGCTCGAATCTACAGACATTTCATGTGATATGTGAAGTCATGTGTAACCTATAGGTAATGTGTGCATAAAGTCTAGAAGTACACTGAAGCTCCACTCACCTTCTCTCAACATGATTCTCTCATAGGCAGGAAACCTGGTACTGATTAGAGAAAGTGATGCTAGGTCATCGCGACTTTTCTTCACATTTTTCTTGCCTCCAGATCTTTGGGCTCGATTTTTCCAGAAGTCAGCTCTATCTCCAGCTGCAGATCTCTGTGCATTCTGTACACTGGCCAGCTGATCAGCTCTGAAACATAAACCCATAAACTATAGGTACACCATCAGAATACAACATGCATATCATTTACCTGTACATATTATATTTAAGATACATTTTACACATTTAATAATGAACTTCTTGTATACTAAACTATACATAGAGATTAGAAATTCTCAGAGCATGGTCTCATTGAAGTCTATGGGGGTTCCCTAGCCGGGCATAGCCAGCCCTGAAGAAGCTTTCTGCCCAGTGGATGTAAATAGAAGACAAGGCTTTGGTTATCATATTGAATTAAAGTATATCCAAAGCCAAAAGTTTGTTTTTTTGTTTTTCATATCAGATAACTTCTTTATTGAGGTTTTAACATGGTTTACAAAAGAAACCAACAGTGTGCCCACAACTTTGTTTTTAGCTGTGGCGATTTTGTATGCGGTGTCCCTTTGCAGCGATTTCACTTTCTGTCCTGGAGACACAATAGGAACCTAGAAAAGAAAAAAAATCTCTGCAAGAGGGGAATTCCCTTTATAGTCTACTGTCTTCAGGAACAGGTTTCCCCATTGGATATTTTCACCTCATCTCCTGTTCTGAAGACAATTGTAAAACACTGGCTCTCCTGATGACAATGGTCAACATGACAAATAGAGAGGGAGAATCTACCAAGCAGGGATGCAGACAGCATTAAATGTCCAAAAAGGGTTTTAAGTCTTCCTTGTTCCATCTGAAACTAAAAAAAAAAAAAAAAAAAAATAATCTGGTTTAGATACATTCAAAAGCTGACACAAGGATAATTCTGCCACTAGCAGCAGATTGTCCAGAGGCAGAATCATTAACCACCTTCCACCTGCCATATAGTAATATGACGGAAGCAAGGTGGTTCTCTCGCTCTGGGAGGACGTCATATGACGTCCTCCCATTCTGAACGCGCAGCGCTGCGATCGGGGGTGCACTGTGTCCCTCGGACACAGCGGATCACAGATCCACGGAAGGAGCCAAAGATGTCGGCTCGGTCATGTGATCAGCTGTGTCCAATAACAGCTGATCACATGTAAAACAGGGAAATGCTGGTTATCGGCATTTCTCTCCTCTCGAGCTGTCACGCTGACAGCTCGAGAGGAGAGCAGAGCCGGTAATCGGCATTCCGCAGAGGGGACATGTACACTGATCAGTATGCCCTGATGATCAGTGTAGCCCCAGCAGTGCCAGCTGTCAGTGCCCATCAGTGCCTACCAGTGCACATCAATGCCACATATCAGTGCCCATCTGAGATGCCTTTCATTGTCACCCTTCAGTGCCAGTCAGTGCCACCTATCAATGCCAATCAGTGCCACCTATCAGTGCTGCCAGTCAGTGTCACGCCTATCAGTGCCAGTCAGTGCCGCCTGTCAGTGCCGCCTGTCAGTGCCGCCTATCAGTGCCACCTAACAGTGCCACCTAACAGTGCCACCTAACAGTGCCCATAAGTGATGCCTGTCAATGCCCATCAGTGCCACCTATCAGTGCCTCCTCACCAGTGTCCATCAGTGCAGCCTATCAGTGCCCATCAGTGCAGCCTATCAGTGCCCATCAGTGCAGCCTATCAGTGCCCATCAGTGCAGCCTCATTAGCGCACATAAGTTAAGGAGAAAAATCACTTATTTACAAAATTTTATAACAAAAGAAAAAAAGGTTTTTTTTCTTCAAAATTTTCAGTGGTTTTTGGTTTAAGAAAAAAGAAAAAACCCAGAGGTGATTAAATACCACCAAAATAAAGCTCTGTCACAAACAAAATGATAGAAATTTCATATGGGTACAGTGTTGCATGACCCGCGCAATTGTCATTCAAAGTGCAACAGCGCTGAAAGCTGGAAATTGGCCTGGGCAGAGAAGTGCCCTGTAGACTTGTGGTTAAAAAGGCTGCCTGTGTGTCCCCATGCAATCACTTGTCTGTGGTCACATGCAGCAAGATGGTGCACTGGCGCTGGCCTGAATGTTGCTGAATTTTGATTGCTATCCATGGGAGCAACATCTCGCTGCCTTCGCTACAGTTTCCATAGGAACATAAACAGGCATCCTCTTAGCAATCCTGCTAAAGTTATTTTTGACAAATTTTCAGCGGGTAATCAGCCTAATGCAGGCCATAGACAGGTCTGAATTTTGGACGTTTTTTGTGGATCTCCTCATTTATTTTTATCGGTCATGCTGGAAAATCTGCAAAAAACAGCCGTATTTCGTGGAAATGGGCAGCAACAGCAACGGGGCCGACAGATTTTTGGCCAATAAATGGCCCATCTATAGCCTGCCTAAGTAAGCAGCTGGCTGATGGGTTTATAGATAGTACTATCTGGACATTATCAGTGACAGCAGGGAGTTGCGTTGCCATGCATAGGCAGAGGAAACTGAACCTGTGCCCTGCAATCACTCAAAGAGTACTGCAGGCTTCAGAGACAGCAGCCAGACACCCTGGTAGACCAGGAGGGGGAAGGAGGGAACAGTGTGGGCTGTCCTGAAATGTCAGAGGGTAAAGAAAATTACACTGCAAAAGGCTTTGTGATTGTGGATTCACATGTGCGGTGCGGATTGAAGCTCCATTTTTACAGCTAACGGACAAAGTAGTTGTTCAGTGGTTCAAGTCAGGTTTACATCAGGTTCAGGACAGGTTTAGGTCAGTATTTTTTCCTGTTCACAACTGATGACATGCACAATTTAGAAGCATTCCCATAAAAGTCAATGAGACTAAATTCACGCCTGAGTCCGACTGCACTGTTTAGAAAACGAACAGGATTCTTTTCCAATTTGCACTGAATCTGCACTCCGGTTGCACCGCGTATTTGTAAACAGCAACATTAGAAATCAATGTTATTTCACATGTCATGCAAACTGAATGTGGTTCAAAACGCATCCGGTTCATATAGATGTGAACCGGGTCAAGTTCGGCATCAGTAATTGTTAATTGAAAATCATTTCATTTATGTGAGCAGCCTGAAAAAAGTGTGTGATTACAAATTATCTTTAAACATTTACTGTAAATATGTATCTTTTAAAGTAGCAACATGTTTAAGCACGTCATAAGATTTTTTAAGCACAAATGGAAACAAAGGAGCGTGTTCCTCTTTTTTTTTTTTTAGAATTTTTTTAAAACAAATCTCAAAGAAAAATGATCTTCAATGATACAGATTTGATTGTTTAAAATGGTTGTAAACTCTTAATATACCACGTGAAGTGACTGGCCTCTGCTAATACACAGAGAGATTAAACAAATCCTCCTACATAAATTATACTTGTTTATCTGCAGTCTTCTTTTCTCTTAAAGTCTGATCAAAGTTCTGAATTTTTACAGCTTGTCTGAGAGTTCAGAAAAAAAGGGGCAGAGAGCTGATGTTACACTCTGCAGAGCTCAGTGAGGAGAGTTCCTAGAGCTGTTTGCAGGGAAAGAAACACACTCCCTCCCACACAGGAACAAAGCTGAGGCTGTCAATCTGCTGGAGCTCCCTCCTCTGTTACTATTTTCCTCTTGTTGTCAAGAAATCTTATCAAAAGTCACTCATGCTGATAGGAGAAGAATGAAGCAGCAGAAAGAAATGGCACTCAGTGCTCTTAATTGAGACAATTACACACTATAGAGGGATATGCTTTGTTCATATTTCATGTCTGAGGTTTAAAACCACTTTAAGTACAGTGAAAATACCATGTATAGATTTGTTTGGTGGGCGTCTAGGTTAGTTCTAACTAGTTAGAACTATTATTTTGGTTTATCAAGAGGTAAATTATTGGCGCTGGAGAGATGGGGTTAAATGGGGAGAGTCCCATTAGTGGTAGGGAGGTAGTCAGTTATTGGATAGCACCGTCATGAGGCAGCACCCTATAGAGTTAAGCTGGACTCTGTAATGGAAGATAAAAAGAGAGAGGGGCGCCAGACTAAGTGCAGTATTAACAATCATTTATTAGCACACAATGGTATGTAACTCACTAGATGGAAGTGGGTCATAGGCATGGATAAAATATGGACGTCATCCTGATGGAGTTCCAAAGGCAGAGAGGAGAGGGTGGATGGACATCTGGGGGCCACGGCTGTGGTAGAAGCCAGGTCTCCTGACTCACATTGAGTCCTCTGCAGTGTGTACAGGCTGTGTCTCATGCAGAACCAGGCTGGAACGCAAATGGACGCCAGGCGGAAGTGATGTCACTATGGGAACGTAATGCCGCAAGGAAGGGGCCGTAACACGTTTCAAAGCTGCTGCTTCTTCAATCAGGATGACATCCATATTTTATCCATGCCTATGACCCACTTGTATCTAGTGAGTTACATACCATTGTGTGCTAATAATGATTGTTAATACTACACTTAGTCTGCTCTCTCTTTTTATTTTGATTTATGTAGATGCAAGGAGATTGTTCTTTTAGGGAAGTTGCTGCATGTTACTCCAAAGACATACTGGTAGGTTAATTGGCTCCTGTCTAAATTGGCCCCAGTATGTGTATGTATGAATGTGAGTTACGGACCTTAGATTGTACACCCCTTGAGGGTTAATGTAAAAGCGCTGCGTAAATTGACAGCGCTATACAAGTGCCTGGAATAAATAAATACATGTTCTACAGCTGAGCTTCCATATTCAACCACCTACTTCAAGCAATACAAGAAATATTTCACTTTCATCTAGAAATATACAGGGCTATGTTTTAGTCTACAGCTGTAAAAAAAAAAAATATGTTTGAGCAACATTGGTGAAATACATCGGGAGAAAACGAAAAAAAAAAAAACAAAAACCCCTCAACCTAAGAGACTGAACTTGATGACATTTTTCAGGCTAAATGACTATACATAACAGAAACTATTAGTACAAAACATTTCAAACAATTATTTAAAAGACAGATGAAAGAGTACCTGCTTTTACTTGGAATAAGTCCCTTCTCCAATTCATTGGCAATCCGCACAGACAGCCAGCTGCCAAGCTTCCCATCATATAGTGTATCAACCACTCTGAAAATCTCGCCTCTTGTGAATCCTAAAAATTGCTGAGCCTCTTTCTCATACTCAAAATGAGTCCTTATGAAGAACGAATCTCCCCGGCCACAGGCAAGTATGTTTTTGTAGACTGGAAACAAAAGATGAAAGCTATATCAAAGAAAATCCTCTGAGAATCAATGTAGTGCTACAGCTCTTGTTCAAGGGCCAAGGAAACAAAGAACTTTGTCTTGGTCTAGTATTTGAAGGACATGTAATTATACTGGCACTCTCACTAGCTAACCAGCAGCTTCGGGGAAGTATAATTCTGTAAATTACATTCCTGAAAGCAATGTTTCATGAAAGCCATATTATGAGCCTGATGAGAAAAGGTATTTAGCAGCTTATATGGACTTCAATAACTACATTTCCATGTTCTGTATACTGTGGGCGACCAGATATAGTGAATGCAAGGTCCTGGGTTTAGTAACACTTTAAAGTACATATACCTGGTGTCTGCGGGTATATAGTGTCTATTCATTGCTGTTCAAACCATAAAGTGAACCATTTTGTGCTGAAATGTATTATTATAGTTATAGTTACTATATAGTTAATATAGTGAACACGACATTAGGCTACGTTCACACAAGCAATTGGGGATGATGCGTATTGTGGCAGGAGACAATGATTTTTGCTGTGGCTCTCAGCAGCTAGGTGCTGGAATCTTTCACTATAAATGGCAGGTCAGCAGCATCTGCAGGTATTCTTGGCTCTCTGCCCAGCCAGTGATTACCTGTGGTGATAAGGGTGTATTTAGGCTTTGTGCTGCCTAAGGCAACACGAAAATCGTCTGCCCCCACGGACACCGACCAACACAACCCCCCCTCCCCCCTCCAGCGGACCAACAACACCCCTGCCCCCCACCTAGGAGAGCCTTCCACTACCCACCCCCCCAACCCCCCAGGCGACAGTCACTAATCTTCACAGCTCCTGACATGAAGCAGCCCGCAACCGCTCTCAGATCCCACCTGTTTCCCATAGTGCGCGTGTCCTGTCTTTCATTTCTTCTGCTGGGGAGAGGTGCTGCCCCCTAAAAACTGCCGCCCTAGGCAAATGCCTTGTTTGTCTTGTGGTAAATATGCCCCTGGTGGTGATCACTGCTGGACATACACAAAATGTGTTGGTGGGCCAGTGACCACACCTAGCTGCTGAGAGCAGCAGCAGGAATTTTATTTCTGTTGTTACAATTCACAAGGACCCTAATCGCCAGTGTGAATGTAACCTTAATCTACAAAAACAACATATAAAGCACTGATTGCCAAGAGATGTTCCATTTGTGTGACAGTTAAATAGGGAGTAAATAAAACTGGCACAAACAGTATGCACCTTTTACCGATGACCAATTCATGCTGCAAGAGCAAAAGGTAAGCTAGATCACTAGAAGTCAGAATGAGAACATTCCATACCACTGACAAAAAAAGAATGAGGATTATGATTCTAAGAATTTGAGGGAATTCAAAGGATAGAGTATACTACATTATTCATGGATGGGCATAATGCCACAAGAGAGCATTGGCCACCAACAGTATCCTGAAGAAGGTAATCATTGCCACCAGGACAGAGAGCAAGGGGAAATCCAAAATTTTACAGTTTTCAACTGAATAGGAGGTGAGGAAAAACCTACCAGCTGGTATATCTTATTTGGTGACAGTTGTTTAAGAGGAGTTTTCACCTACTTTAGGGTGATTTCCTCTCAATTCTTGTTCTATCTCTAGAAAAGGAAATGAAGGGAAATCTCCCTCCTGGAACACAGCCAAAATAATAAAATAAATATATAACTGACAGGTGTTCTAACCATTCCGTACACTATACAAGAGTGAAGAAAAATGTTCTAAGAAAACGATTTTTCATATTGCCGAAACTTGATCCAGGATCTCTGGTGATGCTACATGAGAAAAATCGAGGCCAATATCTCAGATACAATATCGCATTGTGTAACAAGTATTGAGTGATTTGGTGTCCATGGATGGATTCCCCCCAGAATTCGATGCAGAACTCTTGCTTCTGTGAAAAAGGGGCTATTCACAATCTCTCCACTTACCTACCCATTCCCCACCCTTCTCCTTCACCCTCCTCCCCAATCTCTGACCCCATCCCACTCAGTTCTCCCCAGCTCTGTTGTTGATCAGTCTCTATTTGCAACATTAAAATAAGTAGAGAAGCAGAGACAAGGTGTGCAACTGCCAACCTCTAGTATTGTTGTTCACCCAAACTGTGTGCACTTTTGCTACTTGTAACCATTTGATTGTACTACCTGCATGTGTGTTTTGAACATTTGTTATGTAAAAAAACACACAAAAAAAATGAAAACACTAAATTAAAGGAAAGTCTAACATCAAAAAGTGGGAGGTCCCCATGTCAGAATATACCCGTGGCTGCAGAATCAGTGCAGTCTAGTGTGGCTCAGAGCCCTCAAAATAAAAAAAGGTGTAGATGAGGGGTGGTGATGTCACAATCTTTCACCTCATTCAATCAGAGAATGCCTTTAATTGAAAAAAAAAAAGAAAAGAAGAAAAAAAAAAAAAAAAGCAAGCAACCCCACTGTGGACAGTGTGCACAGGGAAATCCTCATAAGACCCAGAAGACTGTAGCTACAGTATGTAGCAGAACTGACTACTACAGTGATTGCCAGCTTCTCCAGCAGTCAGGTAGGTATGGGACCTGGACCAATAAAAACCATGCAATACAGATCATGCCTGGATTCAGCTTTAAACCTCATATGCCACATTAAACAATGCACATTTATGGAGTATGAAAATATGAGAGGCTGTGTGCTTCTTCTAATCACATTCTTAAAAACACATAAGCTCAATTACCATCATATCTGCTCTGAGTTAAAATGGTAACTTCATCTCCTTTTGGAATTTCCAGCAAATATAAAACTGCATCTTCTCGAACAATGCATCTGAAGTCTTGTGTATTGACCTATGATAGCGATATACAGAACAACAAAAGGAGGGATTTTAGAACATGGAAAGTAGGTTTTTGTTCAGTCATCTACCTTACATAAACAGTGCACACAATTCCTATGGTATCAGTATGACAAGTTTTTTTCCCATCTTCTTGTCCATCATATGCATAAAGTTGTTCTAACTATTGGAGCTTTATAATTCATTAATAAAATTAACAACCTAAGCATGGTTACAGAGCAGCTTGAGCCCCCGTTCACACTAGTGCCTTTTCTGATGCAGCTGCTACTACTGTGTGCTGCACTGCATGACAATGGAAATTCCATTATTCTCAATGGTGCAGAGCATTTTTTGAAAAGGCACAGGTGCCACTTTGGCCCCATAGACGTCAATGTGTTTTCACTGCATTTTGGCTTGGTCTTGTGTATAAAAATCCAGTCTCCTTCTGCCAAAAAAAAAAAAACGCATCATTGAGAAAAATGCTTCAAAAACCTGCAATGTCTCCTTGCAAAATTGCATGGGAAAACGCATCGTACTGCAGCTGCTCTAGTGTGAACCTAGGCTTAGAATCACATACCACTGGAGTTATTTCATTTAAATTAAACAAAACAACAAGAAAAGTCAGTTTTGAGTGCAATCAGATATAAACAGAACCAAAATATGTTCCTACTAATGCATTTATTTTCACCAACAAATATGGGTGGCTGGTAGTTCTGTAGGCCTCATGCACACAGGGCATCTGCTTAGCCCTTCTGAACGCCTTATTCCCTGGCAGGAGAAAGGTTACTTAAATGTGGTAAAAGCAGAATATTGCATATAAAGTATATACCACGTATGGTATATTAACTTATTCTGGCCATAAGTATGCATTAACAAACCTAAATGGTTCTAACATTTATGCACGTTTATGCGCATTGCATGTTTTTTTTTCTGCTGAAAAGCTCCTCTTCTGAATATGCTACTGATGGGATTTTTTTTCAGCCTGTAAACGACTGTGTGTGCATGGACACATTGGCTAACAAAAAGGTGCTTTTATGGGATTTGTTTTCAGCCTGTAAACGACTGTGTGTGCATGGACACATTGGCTAACATAAAAGGTGATTTTATGGGATTTTGTTTCAGCCCGTAAACGACTATGTGTGCATGGACACATTGGCTAACATAAAAGGTGATTTTATGGGATTTTGTTTCAGCCCGTAAACGACTATGTGTGCATGGACATAATGGCTAACATAGAGGTGCTTTGGCAGGCTAAAAAAAAAAAAAAAGAAAAGAAAGGACAAACGCTTGTAAAAGTACATTTTTTTTAAATTCCAATCTGCATGAGGCCTTATAGTGCTCATATAAAGATATTTGGCTCCCAGGGTACTGGAGTATTCATATGTATGCCTTTGAAATCTATACAGATAAACCTGAATTTTCTACACTTAAAAACCATCTTAAAAGTGTGGGCAGCTTAAACAGAAATAAAACTAGGATAAACTTATTTTATATCCCATCAACTTATAGTAAAGTAATTAAAGTCCAATGCCAACCCAAGTTAGAACCTATACACAATTTTTATTGCTCTCTGTGTTCTGGGGAGATTTACTTTCAAACTCCATCCTCCAAGTACACACAGGCACACCGAGTGTTACGGAAACAAAAGATGGAGGAAATCTTTCCATAGGCTTCCTGTTTTTGGCGATTTCCCATGATAGTAACACTAGGATTGGACATTAATAGAAATATGCCCTAATGGGACACAGATAGCAACATAAACCTGAAGGAAGCTAGAAGTCTTTTCCACTCAATCAAAAAAAAAAAAAAAAATTATATAAACTGTATATATAGTTTGGTTGAGCTGGGCTTTAACAGCTATGACAACCTAGTTTTTTGAGCAAAGCCCAAAAGGAACCAGAAACTGACATCTAATCATGGGCAGCACAGTGGCTAAATGGTTAGCACTTCCACCCGGCAGTACTAGGGTCATTGGTTCAAATTCCAACCACGGCAACACCTGCCTGGAGTTTGCATGTTCTCCCTGTGCCTGTGTACTCCGGTTTCCTCCCACACTCCAAAAGACATGCTGGTAGGTTAATTGGCTCCTGTCTAAATTACCCCTAGTGTGTGTATGTATGAATGTGAGTTAGGGACTTTAGACTGTAAGCCCCTTGAGGGTTAGGGACTGATGTACAGTGGGGATAGAAAGTTTGGGCACCCCAGCTAAAAATTTGTATTAATGTGCATAAAGAAGCCAAGGAAAGATGGAAAAATCTCCAAAAGACATCAAATTACAGATTAGACATTCTTATAATATGTCATCAAAAGTTAGATTTTATTTCCATCATTTACACTTTCAAAATAACAGAAAACAAAAAAATGGTGTCTGCAAAAGTTTGGGCACCCTGCAGAGTTAATATCTTGTACTGCCCCCTTTGGCAAGTATCACAGTTTGTAAACGTTTTTTGTAGCCAGCCAAGAGTCTTTCAATTCTTGTTTGAGGTATCTTTGCCCATTCTTCCTTACAAAAGTCTTCCAGTTTTTTGAGACTTTTAGGCTGTCTGTCACGCACTGCTCTTTTAAGGTCTATCCATAGATTTTCAATTATGTTGAGGTCAGGAGATTGTGAAGGCCATGGCAAAACCTTCAGTTTACGCCTCTTGATGTAATCCCCCGTGGATTTCGAGGTGTGTTTAGGATCATTATCCATTTGTAGAAGCCATCCTCTCTTTAACTTCAGCTTTTTCACAGATGGCATCAAGTTACCATCCAAAATTTGCTGAAATTTTATTGAATCCATTTTTCCTTCTACTCGTGAGATGTTCCCTGTGCCACTGGCTGCAACACAACCCCAAAGCATGATTGATCCAACCCCATGCTTAACAGTTGGACAGAGGTTCTTTTCATTAAATTCTGTGCCCCTTCTTCTCCAAACGTACCTTTGCTCATTCCGGCCAAAAAGTTAAATTTTAACCTCATCAGTCCACAGAACTTGTTTCCAAAATGCATCAGGCTTGTCTATATGTTCATTTGCAAAGTTCAAACGATGATTTTTGTGGTGAGGACGTAGAAGAGGTTTTCTTCTGATGACTCTTCCATGAAGACCATATTTGTACAAGTATCTCTTTATAGTGGAATAGTGTGTACCACTACTCCAGTGTCTGCCAGATCTTTCTGGAGGGATCGTGCAGTCAAACGTGGGTTTTGAATTGTTTTTCTCACAATCCTGCGAGCTGTTCTGTCTGATATTTTTCTTGGTCTCCCAGATCTTGCTTTAACTTCCACTGTTCCTGATGACTGCCATTTCTTAATTACATTCCGAACAGAGGATATTGACATCTGAAAACGCTTTGCTATCTTCTTATAGCCTTCTCCAGCTTTGTGAGCGCCAACTATTTTCAGTTTCAGTTTTCTAGACAACTGCTTAGAAGAACCCATGGTGGTGATTGTTGGGGCAAGGTCAGATGAGTCTGGGCATTTAAAACCTTTGAGATTGACATCACCTGGTCTTCCCAGACGATGATTGAGAACAATCCATGACACTGGCAGGTCTCAGCTTGGCAAAGGGGGCAGTGCATGCTATAAATTCTGCAGGGTGCCCAAACTTTTGCAGACGCCATTTTTTTGTTTTCTGTTATTTTGAAAGTGTAAATGATGGAAATAAATTCTAACTTTTGTTGACATATTATAAGAATGTCTAATCTGTAATTTGATGCCTTTTGGAGATTTTTCCATCTTTCCTTGGCTTCTTTATGCACATTAATACAAATTTTTAGCTGGGGTGCCCAAACTTTCGATCCCCACTGTAAATGTACAATATATATGTAAAGCGCTGTGTAAATGGACGGCGCTATATAAGTACCTGAAATAAATAAAAAAATAAATGCCGTAAAATTTGAAGTGTTACCTTGAGCAGCTGATCTCCTTCTTGTAGGCCTTCCTGCTCAGCAGCACTTCCTTCCTGAACACCAGCAACAAAATATACCAACATCATTACCACCAGCAAGCCGCATGCCCACGCTGTCACCTTTCCGAAACTGAATCATTCTTGTATTAGGCCTAAAGAGAAAAACTGACTTTAGTGTTTGCAGGTTGGCTTTAAACTTGATATTTGTTAGAGCTTATGGCTAAGCTTATGTGTAGAGAAATATAGTCAGCTTATTCATTTATGCTAAATTACAGGCAGATAAACACCAATCGAATGCCATCATGAAGATGATCAAGAATTATTGCATAGGGTGCTGCCGAGAAAAGTCTTCTTACCAACCTGACTGTATTTTCTGACATGGCTGTGTAAACCATAAGACAAAATTACATTTCCTTTAATAAACAGCTTCTGTATACTTATATATTTCAGTTGTGTATCTAGCTCTTTGTGTTGCATTCAACTTTAAAGTGACACTAAAGCTTCAATTTTTTTTTAAAATAACAAACATGTCTATACATACGTGCTGTGTGCAGTGGCTTTGGACAGAGCAGCCCCGATCCTCTTCTTTTCGGGTCCCGTCGATGCTCCTGGCTTCTCCTCCTCGAGCAATGACCCTAGGGAAAGCCATTCAGCCTGGGGGCACCGCTGTGAGCTGGTTCCTGAGCCGAATCTCTCCTAATTGGCTCACTAGCTGTAATTCACAGCAGCAGGAGCCAATGAGCTCCTGCTGCTGCCTCAGCCAATGATGACAAAGAGTCCCCAGACAGCAGAGGCTGTCGAGAACATTGCTAGATCAGATGGAGCTCAGGTAAGGATTAAGCGGGGGCTGCTGCACACAGAGGGATTTTTACCTTCATGCATAGAATACATGTAATTAAAAAACATTGAGCATTTAGAACCACTTTAAGCTAAAGAGCAATAAGCTATAAAATCAGCAAGAATATACATTTACCTTTTTTGACAGTGAATAACCAAAATCTGAGTGGTTACTATGGGTTACTGTACATCTTATCTACATGTATCTGCACATACATTGCCTCTTTCCATTTGAAAATGCCAGCAACAGCAGAGCAAGCCGAGTTTCCCTGCCATTTACCTCCAACTTGGCACTCAAGCCAAGTTGTACATGTGAATGGTAGGTTTAAGACACGGTTCCTTTCAACAAATGATGACAGGTTTTCTGATACAATTCAAAAAACATACCCATAGATCTCCAAATCTTCAGGATTGGGCTGCAGAAACTGCTTTCGAATCACTACAAGCTTTTCTACTGTGTGAACTAGAAAAACAGAAATCCTATTTTTAGAATGAAATCATGTAGAAACACAATAACAAAGACCTTCATCAATATTTGTAGTTACTTTTATTAGCCAAAATGGTGTGTCAATACTAGAGATGTCAAATTTCTGGAAATTTTGGAGCCATGGGAAAAAAAACTTTTTTTTTCTCCCTGTTTTTTTTCCAAGAAAAAAAGGACATTTTGGAAAAATAGAAAAAATAAATATCAGTGTGGAGTAGTTTTACAAACTGAAAGTTATTTTGTTACACTGGGGAGGTGAAATGCAGTGTATGTAAAAGAATTATGCTTGAAATAAAAATACAGCTATTTCAGTAAATAAACTAAACTTGCTTTTTAATTACAAATGGAATAACAAGGACTGTATCTTCAATAAAACTTTTTTGGAAAAAAAAAAAACAAGGACTGTATATCTTAAGAACATTCCAACCATACAGTCATGTCCATACATATTGGGACATCAACACAATTCTAACATTTTTGGCTCTATACACCACCACAATGGATTTGAAATGAAACGAACAAGATGTGCTTTAACTGTAGACTGTCAGCTTTAATTTGAGGGTATTTACATCCAAATCAGGTGAATGGTGTAGGAATTACAACAGTTTGCATATGTGTCTCCCACTTGTTAAGGGAGCAAAAGTAATGGGACAGAATAATCATAAATCAAACTTTCACTTTTTAATACTTGGTTGCAAATCCTTTGCAGTCACTTACAGCCTGAAGTCTGGAACGCATAAACATCACCAGACGCTGGGTTTCATCCTTGGTGATGCTCTGCCAGGCCTCTACTTCAACTGTCTTCAGTTCCTGCTTGTTCTTGGGGCATTTTCCCTTCAGTTTTGTCTTCAGCAAGTGAAATGCGTGCTCAATCGGATTCAGGTCCGGTGATTGACTTGGCCATTGCAGAACATTCCACTTCTTTCCCTTAAAAAACTCTTTGGTTGCTTTTGCAGTATGCTTTGGGTCATTGTCCATCTGCACTGTGAAGCGGCGTCCAATGAGTTCTGAAGCATTTGGCTGAATATGAGCAGATAATATTGCCCGAAACACTTCAGAATTCATCCTGCTGCTTTTGTCAGCAGTCACATCATCAATAAATACAAGAGAACCAGTTCTATTGGCAGCCATACATGCCCACGCCATGACACTACCACCACCATGCTTCACTGATGAGGTGATATGCTTAGGATCATGAGCAGTTCCTTTCCTTCTCCATACTCTTCTCTTCCCATCACTCTGGTACAAGTTGATCTCGGTCTCATCTGTCCATAGGATGTTGTTCCAGAACGGTGAAGGCTTTTTTAGATGTCGTTTGGCAAACTCTAATCTGGCCTTCCTGTTTTTTTGAGGCTCACCAATGGTTTCCATCTTGTGGTGAACCCTCTGTATTCACTCTGGTGAAGTCTTCTCTTGATTGCTGACTTTGACACACATACAACTACCTCCTGGAGAGTGTTCTTGATCTGACCAACTGTTGTGAAGGGTGTTTTCTTCACCAGGGAAAGAATTCTTCGGTCATCCACCACAGTTGTTTTCCGTGGTCTTCCGGGTCTTTTGGTGTTGCTGAGCTCACCGATGCATTCCTTCTTTTTAAGAATGTTCCAAACAGTTGTTTTGGCCACGCCTAATGTTTTTGCTATCTCTCTGATGGGTTTGTTTTGTTTTTTTCAGCCTAATGATGGCTTGCTTCACGGATAGTGACAGCTCTTTGGATCTCATCTTGAGAGTTGACAGCAACAGATTCCAAATGCAAATAGCACACTTGAAATGAACTCTGGACCTTTTATCTGCTCATCGTAATTGGGATAATGAGGGAATAACACACACCTGGCCATGGAACAGCTGAGAAGCCAATTGTCCCATTACTTTTGGTCCCTTAACAAGTGGGAGGCACATATGCAAACTGTTGTAATTCCTATACCGTTCACCTGATTTGGATGTAAATACCCTCAAATTAAAGCTGACAGTCTGCAGTGAAAGCACATCTTGTTCGTTTCATTTCAAATCCATTGTGGTGGTGTATAGAGCCAAAAATGTTAGAATTGTGTCGATGTCCCAATATTTATGGACCTGACTGTATATAAGAACAGGTAATCACCCTACTTTCCCTCATAATTTAAAAGCTTCCTGCCATTATGCATTTTCAGTTATTGGCAATGTTGATCCAGAAGCATATATTGCTCTGTAAAAAGCTTTATCAGTGTTCTCCTGGTTTTCAGGTGTCATTTTATCTATAAATGAAGGGATTGTGCATTTTTGGGAGGCAGTGGTTTGTAACACTTCCTTACTTGAGGATGCTGCTGGTGAAGAAACACTTTCTGATGATCCAGAAGCAGCAGAAATTGTTTCTGGAATGAGAACTCTGGAGCGAAAAGCTACTTGCACTTTCATTACGGTCCTCATCATTTAATTCCATAAAGTATTTTTAATGTCTTTAGGCCACCTCTGGCATGCCAGGACGTGTTTTGTCAACCCTGTAGCATTTGGAAAAGACTATTTCTTCTCACAATATTTGAAAATTAAAATAATTCAGATCTGTACACTGTGCACCAGAGGACACTGACAGTGTGAGCAGGCTCTCTATGAGTCTCACCATTCACAGAGCCTATCTTAGAGGAAACCTGACGTTGCTGGTACTAATTGTAGGACCCTGAAGGGAACAGGAACTGACTATCACCAGAGTGGATAATCTGGCTGACCTGATGAGACAGTTATATCTCAAATGCGTGATTAAATTGTGCATCTGGTGAGTGCGCAATTTACCTAATATCGGTCACACCATTTACCACTCCGGATTAAGGAATTGGAATACCTATTTTGAGATCCCCCGTGATCCTCACGTTCAATACATTGGACATTCACCTAATCACCTTAACCACTATATGTGGTTCCTATTGTGCGCTTTATTCAGTGTGTTTACATATGTTTTAACACTTATGTCACTTTATTTCATACCATCAACACCTTTATATGGTTTCATTTGAATAAGTCATTGGTCAAATTTCTGCAATTAAGCACCTTTTTACATATATTTATTTATTTATGATCAGCGCTGCACCCAATTTTATGTATGTATTCCAGGATTTGCTTGTCTTTAGTTGAGAGAACTTGCAATAATTTAAGACTTTACATAAAGTCTCAAAAATAATTTTCATTAAGGTTTTCATGATATATAGTTTTAATACCATGTCATAGATATGTTATTTATCATTGTAAAAGAAAAAATTCCACACTTTTTTTTTTCCAATTTTTTCCAGAACAAAAAAAAAAAGGCTTTGAAAAAAACTTTTTTTTTCCCAGTGTGTTTTTTTCCAGGCCTTCCCATCTCTAGTCAATACTCAAATTTAGAAAGACACAGGTAGCCAGATAACACCAGAGCCTGTAAACACAACAAGCACAAGTATGCCATATACACAGCTGCTGTAATGCACACAGTAGCCTTCCAATGGTGCATGTAATACGCTAGCTCTGTCTACAGTAGCAGTGATATTAACCACCTCGCAAGAGTTACAGGAGTGCAAGAGTCAGCATCACTTTAATGAAAAGTGGCAAACAATTCCTGCTAATAATTGCTATATTGCAATAGGATACATTCGGCTAAGCATTCCTCCAGGTTTTGGGAGTTTTTGGGTAATGCTCAGAAAGTCTGCAGTGCCTTCAGTTGAAATCCAGATCTAGAGGTTATTATATTACCAAGCAATAACAAGTTTACTAATGTTTGATACAATCTTATTACTACTGTAAACCTTTAATAGATGCAGTGCTACTCATAAAAAAAAATGCTCAACCCCCACCGCCATTATGTGAACTAATAAGCATACAAACAATATAATTACAACCACAGTACATAGGTGTGTCAATGGTTACAACATGACAAAGTTCTTTCAGTGTAAAAATCAATTCAGTCTTTCTTGTATTCCACCTTCAGTGGTTCTTCGTTTGTTGTGACTCCCCAAGTGAAAATTCCAACCACGTTTATGCCCTCCACCCAGGACTGAAAATACACTCACTAAGCCCTTTACCTGTTTAGGGAAAGGTAAATAAGGCTTGTGGAAATTTAAAATCAAGGAACCATGAATCCTTTGAATGAAGCCTGATCTGCCTTTCCTGAGGTTACATCCCGCAGTAGATTACAAAAAGTGCAGAACCAAAAAGTCCAGCGTTGAAATGTGCCACAAGGGGTGGTACTACGCTCACGCAGGAGAGGAAAATTCCAGCACAAAACTATGCCAGCTGCACTACGATTGGGAACGCTGGTGCAGTGCCTGTAAAGAAATGCTGAAGTTGCTGCTATCGTCTACAAATGCTCTGTTGCACATAGTCTGCATAGATGTTTCTAGCTGACATTTTTACTTTTAAATACATAAATGTTTTTACACAATCTGCGCTTTGTAATCCACTGCAAGCGGTAACCTGGGACAGTGTCAGGAAAAGGCGGATCACACTTCAATTAAAAGATTAATGATCTTTGATTTGAAGCTACCACAAGTTTTTAAACCTTTCCCTAAACAGAATAATAAAGGGTTGGGCGAGAGCATTTTTAGTTTTAGGAGGGCACACACATGGGTGGAATTGTCAGTGGAGAGAGAGTCGCAACAAAAGGAAGAATCCCTGAAGGTGAATAAAGACTGAATTTGATAGTTTTTCACATTGCAAGGACTTACATACTTGTCACATTTTAATTTTAATCACAGCCACACCTATATACTGTGGTTGTAATTATATTGTTTGTGTGCATATTATTTCAGTTTGTTGTGGTGGGGGCTGAGTGCTTTTTTTTTTTTTATGGGTAGTGCTGCATCTATAAAGGCACTTACTACCTTGTATCAGGAGGGCTTAACACAATTGTATATAGCTGCTTGGCATTTATCATTTTAATTTTGAGTAAGTTGTAGAGTTAATGCAGAAAAAGGATCATATAAAGGTTAGTTAACCTTAAAAAAAAAAGAATCATAAGCATTGCAGCAAAATGCTGCCCCCCCCCATTTTTTAAAACTTACCCTTACTTTTGATGCAGCTTTTACTGTGGGCTGCCCCTCTCCGCCCCATTGGATACATGGCCCCACACCTCACAAACAAGCATTGCATATACAGTCTGCTCTTTCTCAATCTTGCAGAATGCTGATCTCAGCCACTGAAGTGAGAGAGCAGACTGCACATGCATGGTTAGGCAGGCCAAGTTCTTGTAGCCGAGTGCTTATCTGAGAAGCGTTGGGACATGCATCCAATTGTCAGCACACCCTGCCATGTAAGCAGGATGGAGATGGGGAGACCACAGTAGAAGCAATGTTGTAAGTAAGGACCATTTTTAAAAAGAGAAGGCAGCATTTTAAAGCGCAGGCAAATCTCTAAAACATATATTCTTTTATTTTAGAAAAGTAATTTTCTAAAATCAAAGATAAATGTTCTTTAAATGTTCCTACCTATAGGATTAATTTAAATGTTGTATTAGTATAATAGTATGAAATAGAAACTACAATTTCTGGGGAAAAGCTGTGAAGTGTTCTTGCCTGCTCACACACCTGGGTTCCTATGGCAACTCACTGTACAGCAAGGGCAGAGAAGAGTGGTTAAAAACAAACTGCTCCAACTTGCTCACTTCACTGGTGGTTGCCATTTTTCAAACAGTTGTAGCTTGAAAATTATAAATCCTACACCGAAGAGCTTTATATATGTCTCTGAAATATTAAAAATGAAGGCACAGTCGCAGTTTAGAAATTGCCCTTCAAATTTGAGGTGGCTAGAGTGGAGTTTCAATGAATCTCAATGGGCGGCGTGAGTTGCAAACAAATGGTCATATTGTGAAAACTATCAGAACTATGGCTTAGGCGTGGGCATTTTTAGTGGCAGCAGGGATAGCTGAACGTTTTGATATAAGATTTCTGTAGGTGGGCTTAAAAAGGAGGGAGTGATGGCAGTTTAGAAATCATGTCCTGATTTTTCAGCTCACACTCTAGCTTTTGTTAGCTCCCACTCTAGTTTTGAACATTCTGCCATTCATTCCTATGGGACTAATTTCACCACAAAAGCGCCGATATTTCGTAAACCATTCAGCAAAACGTTCCACAAAGTAATAGCACACCAAACGGGAACAATCCGCACGTTTCGGTATATTACGGTCTATGTAGTGTAAAAACTGTGGGAGGAGTTAGGGTGGTAAATTTGGCTATAATAATAATATATATGTGAGATAACAGTAAGTGGTCTTGCCATGCAAGAACACTTAATTAGTATACATGCAAAATACTGGATCATGGAAAGAAACACTTTTCTAAGTCAGGTTAAAGAAGGAAATTCAAAGTAACAAAAATCGAGTTTAAAAAAAATTCTTTATGTTGTCACATAACATCCAGAAACTTCCACGTATTTGTGCACATTTTCAGTGACAAGTTTCTATTAGCATTCAAACATTGGCAAGAAATATGAAACCAACATACTTTACCTTAGTAAAAGCTATAGTATTTTTAAGCGATAAAAAGTGATGAGCAAGTTAAATGATGTGATTTTGACCTAATAAAAGTCCAAAGTAATTATATTTACTGATAATTCTACCTAGGGTTGGTGTCACCCGGTGCTGTAACACATGGTAACACGTGGTGTCCCCCCTAAAGAGAGGAAGGAGCGGTGCCGGTGAAGAGGTAAAATGAGTATCCCGTGAAGATATGTATCCCCTGAAGCAACTGTGCATGTGCCGGTTTCAGGCTGAAGAAGCTAATCTCCGACTTTTGCACAGAGCTGCCACAGTTAACCTCTTACAGGCTGCAAACCGCTGAAGCTGATCCCGCATATCACTATGGGTTGCAAGATCAGTTAACCCCGTATAGGTTGAACCTTTGCAGCCTGTAAGGGGTTAACTGTGGCAGCTCTGTGCTAAAGTCTGTGATCGGCTTCTTCGGCCTGAAACCGGCACATGCGCAGTTGCTTCAGGGGATACATATCTTCACGGGATACTAATTTTACTGCTACACCGGGGGCAGCTGTCACTGTGCCGGGAATCCGGGATCACCCCAATAACTGGCCAGGACCTACACAGAGCCCAGAAGCTCTGCTGGCATCCTGCTCCTACACCCCCTGTGATGGTGTCACCCGGTGCGGCCCGCACCCCCCTAGGGACGCCACTGATAGTAGCCTTGGTTATGATTTTGCTGACCATGGCTAAACCTCACTGTTGATTTAATTTTTTGCTAAATATGGTAATTCAGAATCACCAAGAACATTCATGAAGGCATGTCACTAAGAAACAATAACGTAACCTTAATGAGAAAAGTAGAAATAGAGTTATGGTACTGTTCACCTGGAATGTCTTCTGATTCTGGCTCTGGGCTGGTCTCTGGAACCACTGGGCTTACACTAACGGGAGCAGGGCTCTCAGCTCTGTTCACTACTTTAAAAGGAGTAGGCATGGCTCCCATCTTGGTCAGTCTGTTGGGTGGATCCTCCTTAGAGCTGAAAGAAAGCATGAAAATATCATAAAGGCCAGAGGTTATGGCATTTTTTACCATAGCTGCCATGTCCACCTTGTGGTATTCCTTAAGCCTTGTACACATAGGCCGAAAATGGTCCGAAACCAGTCGTATCAATAAGAACTGGCCAACTTTCAGCCCATGTGCACGGCTGTCTGTTCTACATAAGCCGATCTCACAACGACTTCTGTCGAATGGACATGCTGGAAAACCAGCATCCTATAAGCGCTGGCAGCCAATGGTTGCGAGTGCTGATCGGTGAGTTCTGACGGGGGGGCAGTCCCTCTGCCACAACACAAAGGCACAGTGGGGGGGATAGCCGCACCAACATTGCTTGTGTTAGTATGGTGATCTCTTAATTTTTCTTTTTTTGTTTGACCTACTGGGTTTAACGAAAAAAAAAAAAAAAAAAATAAATTTCGAGTGTGTACCCAACTTAAGTCACAATATGGAGCTGGAAGAATAATATTACTTACGTTGCTTTTTCTTTTAGCTTCTCATTGGAAGAATGAGAGTCTGAGTGGTGCAATTTCAAATCCTCCACAGGGGAGCCAGAACGATTGGATTCTATCTCGGAAATATCTGTTGACATTGTAAACAAAAATGCTTTAACCAAGATAGTAAGAACAAAACATCCTGAAACACTTCAACAGACTTTAGGACCATGTTAGATGAGTCTCACATAATCAATCAGTGGCAGAATCACCACAATAATATTCTAATAGAGTTACTTTTTTGCTAACTTGAAATACTACCTAACTGCACAAGAAAGTGAGTAGTCAAGGAATGGCATGTTGCAGGTCAGATCAACAAGGAAGAGACTACATATGAAAAAATAAGTGGTCTCTTAGAGAGCCAAGATATGATCCTTAAATAAAAGACATGAACACAATATGCAGTACACTTCATTGCCTCTCTCTCCTAATATCTACTGGGAGTAAAGACAAAATTGATACAGCTATTGATTAAAGAAAACACTACATGGACATAACAATATGTTGGACAGCTGGGAAAAAAAAGTATTTCGCTCTGCAAGGCAAAGGCATAATGTGCTAGTACTTCTCATTATTAAAGGCTTACCTTGAAACGGAGCCAGGCAAGCAGTCACCTCTTCCGTCGGCACCTGGGCTTTCTTCCGGGTTCCCCAGCTGCAGATGCTTGAATGGCCAAGCCATCATGACGTCACTTCCCGTGCATTTTACCTACAGGTAAGCTTTATTATAAGCTTACCTGGAGGTAAAAATAAATTATATATGTATATATATATATATATATATATATTTATATTTGAGTTTACCACCACTTTAAAGAATGAAATCACTTTAGACATCGATAGGTTAATTGTGGTTTACACTCAGTGAAAACATCAGTGGCAAAAGCACTGATATAACCAAACAGACTGTACTACTGTTATTAAAGATTGTATTAAAATAATGAGATTCCTAAAAATAAAGATTAAAAAAACAGTCCCCACCTCCTATGTCAGAGTCACTGTCGTGCACAGAAGGAACGTTAATCAAAGTTTGTTGGACATCTCTCTGCACCAACAGCTGCAGTTTTCCTCTTGACTTCTCAATCAACTTCCGTGCATCAGCTAAGGACATGTTTTCTGTCACAGTGCCATTGATCTATAGTGGAGAATAAAATGAGCTATTAATGGCTGTTATAGCAGCAATGCTAATTTATCATTTTACCTTCCTTTTTACTGAGCAGCCACAAGATATAACTTTGACTTGCCAAACATGGCCTCATTTGAACTTAACCTGTGATATCTAGAAGAGAATTCATGAAATAACGGTAATTTTGAGAGTGGGTGTTGTGATTCATAGTTTAATGAAGGTTTTTTTTCTTGTTATTTTTCAATATTTTTATGTAACAGTTGTTTATTAGGAGAAGAGAAGGTAAAACTGTACTGTAGTCAAAGCCAGCAAAGTGCAGGGAAAGAAGGAATGTCAATGTTATACTGACAGAGCAGATCCACCCTTTTAGATTGTAAGCGCTTATGAGTAGGGCCCTCTTAATCCTCTTGTTTTAATTGTAGTGTAGCTATATAGTCTCTCTTTACATTGTAAAGTGCTGCACAAACTGATGGCACTATAGAAGTCCTGAATAATAATATTAGTAAGAATAATGTGCAACTAATGGACTGGAAGTAGAAGGCACAATAAAACACTGATAGGCACTTAGTTTGCAAATAAGGAACAAAGAGATAAATGTATAGAGAGCTATGAAGCAATGGATTATATGGAGGTGTTTGTGCGCAAGCTGTATTAGAGCAGGTAGCAGCCATGAAACGAGTTGCTGGACGAGTAGATAAAGCAAACATGAATGTAGTCTTAAAGAATATATAAATCCTCACCTTGTAAAACAAATCATTCAGTTCAAAATAGAAATGAATGGCAAAACATTTGTGTATACATCTAAAAAAAAAACATAATACCTACCTTCTGTCCCCTCTTTTTAGTGATCACATACCCTCTGGTTCTCAGCTGCTTAAGGAGCTCAGGGAGGAGAAACAGTGGTACGCTGGTCTTCCCAGTGAATAGTTGTGCAGAGGGGGCATTTCAGCACAAGTGTGATCACTGGAGAAAAGCGGTCAGAGTTCCAGTACAGCCAGAAAACTGACCACTCTGTTCTCTCCTGAGTAGTGTGGTCAGTTTTTAATAGGAAAGCAGAGGGACTGGCAGGAACACCAGGGGTTTCACCCAAAGAAAGCAATACAAAGAGAACAGGATACTTTACAAGTATATGGCACAGCAGGCACATATCTGGAATATGAAATGTAGGGTTGACATATTTTTAAGACTTTCAATGAACAATGTTAACCAGAGTGCAAAGCACATTCCATTTTTAAAGAAAACATGAGTGAGCAGGCAAAACATATCTCTTATTTCTTATGGGATTTATATTCAACTGTAGGTCATAACAGAATGTCACAATCATAAAACAAAACATAGCAACAAGTAAACAAATGAAATGACCCCTGTTCAAAAGTCTGCATATCTTAAGTTCTTAATACTGTGTATTGCCTCCTTTAGCATCAATGACTCTGAGGAAGAAGGCTTGTCCTTCGAAACGCGTCAGCTGTACTGAGTGGCTTCCTCCATGATGGGATTTGCATTTGCATCTTGCCTTTAAAGTCCCTTTGAGGACTGACATGCCTGTTTTTATTCGCCGTTTGTGAGTACCATTCTTTTATTTAATAAATTTTGGTTACTGAGGTAATGCGCAAGGTTGGTGCGCTTCTTTTTCTTTTTTGTTCTTCCTCAATGAACAATGTTAACCAGAGTGCAAAGCACATTCCATTTTTAAAGAAAACATGAGTGAGCAGGCAAAACATATCTCTTATTTCTTATGGGATTTATATTCAACTGTAGGTCATAACAGAATGTCACAATCATAAAACAAAACATAGCAACAAGTAAACAAATGAAATGACCCCTGTTCAAAAGTCTGCATATCTTAAGTTCTTAATACTGTGTATTGCCTCCTTTAGCATCAATGACAGTGTACAGTTTTTGGTAATAATTGTCTATGAGGTCCAGAATTCTTGCAGGTGATATAGCTGCCCATTCGTCTTGGCAAAATGCCTCCAGGTCATGCAAAGTCTTTGGTTGTCCTGCATGAACCGCACGTTTGAGATCCTCCCAGAGTGTCTCGATGATAATACGGTCAGGAGACTGTGATGGCCATTCCAAAACAGGGGCGGACTGACCATTCTGAAATTCGGGCAGTGCCCGAGGGCCCAAGCTCAGTAAGGGGCCCCATGAGATGCCCCTGGTACCTTTCATAGGCTTTTTTGGGTGTAGTTTTAAGTGTGGGCGAGTACACAGGGCCCCCATGATCCGTTATTGCCCGGGGGCCCCATGAGTGGTCAGTTCGCCCCTGTTCCAGAACCTTCAACTTTTTCTGCTATAGCCACTGAAGGGTCAACTTGGCCTTGTGCTTAGGGTCATTATCATGCTGGAAAGTCCAAAAGTGTCCCATGAGCAGCTTTCTTGCAGTAGAATGCAAATAGTCTGCTAGTATTTTCTGAGAACTTACTGCATTCATCCTGCCATCAAATATGACAAGATTTCCTGTGCCTTTAGAGCTCACACCCAAAACATCAGTGAGCCACCGTCATGCTTCACAGTGGGGATGGTATTCTTGTCGCTATAGACCTTGTTGATCCCTCTGAAAACATAGCACTTATGGTTGTGACCATAAAATTATATTCTGGTCTCGTAACTCCAGAATACAGTGTACCAGAAGCTGTGAGGCGTGTCATGGTGTTGTTGGGCATATTGTAATCTGCCTTTTTGTGGCATTGGCACAGAAAAGGCTTCTTTCTGGCAACTCGACCATGCAGTTCATTTTTGTTCAAGTGAGGCCATATTGTGCTCCTTGAAACAACTATACTGTCTTTTTCCAGAGAAGCCTGCATTTCCCCTGAGGTTACCTGTGGATTTTTCTTTGTATCCCGAACAATTCTTCTGGCAGTTGTGGCTGCAATCATTCTTGGTCTACCTGACCTTAGCTTCGAATCAAGATCCCCAGATTTTCCACTTCTAATAAGTGATTGAAGAGTACTGACTGGCATATTCAAGGCTTTGGATATCTTTTTATATCATTTTTAATCCTTATAAAGTTCTATTACCTTGTTACACAGGTCTTTTGACAGTTCTTTTCTGCTCTCCGTGGCTCAGTATCTAGCCTGCTCAGCGCATCCACGTGAGAGCTAACAAACACGCTGACTACACACACACACTATATAATTTAAAAAGCCACAAATGTGGGAAATTAATCTTTAATTGCCATTTTAACAAGTGTGCGTCATCTTGTGTGTCTGTACTAAGGCCAAACATTCCAACGAATATAAACTTATGATCAGGGTGATTTCTGTTATTATGATTTAAAAAGGAGTCAAACAACTATGTGATAATAAATAGCTTCATATGATCATGATCTCCAAATAAAACAAGTTTTCAGTCATTTTCAATATCAATGCCAAAGTTTCACTGTAAGTATGGTGTATGTAAGGAATGGTATCAGAATCCTTCAGCACTAGACATTAATGTTACAAATAACTTGTGTAGCAATTAGAATGTATACTTTGTCTAGGAAGCTGGAGCTTTCCCTTGAAGTGGACTTAAAACACAAATTATTTTTCATGAGTCTTCCACTGTAAATGACAGAAGCAGTCATTTAAAAAGGAAAATAAATTTCTACGTTTCTTTTTTATATTATTATTATTATATCTTTTATTACATTTTTCAATACAAAAACAGAAGAACAACCTTGTACTCATACAATTCACATAAAACATAAATTCCATTTTGCAATACCTTATACCCTACCCCGCCCATCCTCCCACCATCCAATTACCCCTGGCCATATCCTGTTTCCTAGTTTCTATTTCCTCCCATGTTTTTCTGTCTATATTCATGTCCCTTCCCTCCTACCTCCACTCTCTCTTTCAAATACTCCATCTTACTCTCACACACTTTTCACCATAAACTCCAACTAATTCTGCATATCTTTTAGATGTTTTAAAATCTGACCAACGACTCCATGTTTTCCTAAATTGTTCCATTTTATCCTCCTCCATATAATATAACTCCTCCATCCTGTGTATATTTTCTTGGACTTGCCAAAATCAGGCCCTCAGCCACACTGATTAAATTATATAACACCCTATTTTTATACAGTTTCACTGAAGGGTCAATATTGTAAAATAAACACACCCCCAGGTCTTTCTGTATGGTGATCCCAAATATCTCCTGGATATGTTGGATTATTTCCTGCCAATACTACTGTATTTTAGGACATTCCCACCATATACAGTGGGGCAAAAAAGTATTTAGTCAGCCACCAATTGTGCAAGTTCTCCCACTTAAAAAGATGAGAGAGGCCTGTAATTGGCATCATAGGTAGACCTCAACTATGAGAGACAAAATGAGAAAAAAAATCCAGACAATCACATTGGCTGATTTGGAAAGAATTTATTGGAAAATTATAGTGGAAAATAAGTATTTGGTCAATATCAAAAGTTCATCTCAATACTTTGTTATATATCCTTTGTTGGCAATGACAGAGGTCAAACGTTTCCTGTAAGTCTTCACAAGGTTGGCACACACTGTTGCTGGTATGATGGCCCATTCCTCCATGCAGATCTCCTCTAGAGCAGTGATGTTTTGGGGCTGTCGCTGGGCAACACAGACTTTCAACTCCCTCCAAAGGTTTTCTATAGGGTTGAGATATGGAGACTAGCTAGGCCACTCCAGGACCTTGAAATGCTTCTTACGAAGCCACTCCTTTGTTGCCTGGGCGGTAGGTTTGGGATCATTGTCATGTTGGAAGACCCAGCCACGTTTCATCTTCAATGCCCTTGCTGATGGAAGGAGGTTTGCACTCAAAATCTCACAATACATGGCCCCATTCATTCTGTCCTGTACATGGATCAGTCGTCCTGGTCCCTTTGCGGAGAAACAGCCCCAAAGCATGATGTTGCCACCCCCATGCTTCACAGTAGGTATGGTGTTCTTTGGATGCAACTCAGCATTCTCTCTCCTCCAAACATGACGAGTTGTGTTTCTACCAAACAGTTCTATTTTGGTTTCATCTGACCATATGACATTCTCCCAATCCTCTTCTGGATCATCCAAATGCTCTCTAGCAAACTTCAGATGGGCCCGGACATGTAATGGCTTAAGCAGGGGGACACGTCTGGCACTGCAGGATCTGAGTCCCTGGCGGCGTAGTGTGTTACTGATGGTAGCCTTTGTTACGTTGGTCCCAGCTCTCTGCAGGTCATTCACTAGGTCCCCCCGTGTGTTCATGGGATTTTTGCTCACCGTTCTTGTGATCATTTTGACCCCACGGGTTGAGATCTTGCGTGGAGCCCCAGATCGAGGGAGATTATCAGTGGTCTTGTATGTCTTCCATTTTCTAATTATTGCTCCCACAGTTGATTTGTTCACACCAAGCTGCTTGCCTATTGCATATTCAGTCTTCCCAGCCTGGTGCAGGTCTACAATTTTGTTTCTGGTGTCCTTCGACAGCTCTTTAGTCTTTACCATAGTGGAGTTTGGAGTGTGACTGAGGTTGTGGACAGGTGTCTTTTATACTGATAACAAGTTCAAACAGGTGCCATTGATACAGGTAATGAGTGCAGGACAGAGGAGCCTCTTAAAGAAGAAGGTACAGGTCTGTGAGAGCCAGAAATCTTGCTTGTTTGTAGGTGACCAAATACTTATTTTCCACCATAATTTGCAAATAAATTCTTTCCAAATCAGCCAATGTGATTGTCTGGATTTTTTTTCTCATTTTGTCTCTCATAGTTGAGGTCTACCTATGATGCCAATTACAGGCCTCTCTCATCTTTTTAAGTGGGAGAACTTGCACAATTGGTGGCTGACTAAATACTTTTTTGCCCCACTGTATGTGTCATTGTTCCCTTATTCCCACAACCTCTCCAACATAAAGGTGAAACATCTCATTTCTGTTTATGTGCCACACATGGTTTTGCACAGAGCAGCCCGAATCCTCCTCTTCTCGGGTCCCCCCGCTAGAGATCCAGACCCCTCCCTCCTGCCAAGTGCCCCCAGAGCAAGCAGCTTGCTCTGGGGGCACCCAAACAAGCCGTTCACACACAGAGCTGTGGCTCAGCCCTGCCTCCTTTCATGCACACTGCTTAATCAGGATCGGGCTGAGGTATCGGGGGGGGGGGGGGGGGGCACACACAGAAGGTTTTTTACCTTCATGCATAGAATGCCATGGTCTCCTTGTCACCTACTCATTTTTATTGCACATAGAGTATACCGCACCCTTCAAAAACTTTTTCGGTGGCATCTTAGAGATAACCCAAGACATCCGACATGTCAGGGAGAAACAGCCAAGCTCTGGAAAGGTCCTAACTGTTCAGATACTGGAGGCTATTGTGAGTACCATCAATAGGACATATAAAACAACTATAGCTCAAGAACCTCTTGTTTACCTATTAGGAGTCTGGATGAAGATTTATGTCACACAGAAATTTTAGCTTCTGTCTCTAAGCTTTTATTCCTGGCTCGAAAGCTTATAGTGGTTATCTCCACACCTACCCTCCCACCGTGGAAGAGTGGTGTAGTCAGGTAAACTCTATACTCCTAAAAGAAACACTAATCTTTCAACAGAGGGGATGTTCCCAGAAGTTTAAAGCAGTATTAAACCAAAAGCAAACATTATATTGCAGCTTACCAATTATTTTACGTGATGGCTGTGTTTGCTTTCTTTTTTAGGCTTTCTTCTATTTTCATCTGGTGATCCACCAGTAAGTCTGTTTTTCAAAAGAACAAGCTCTCCAGCAGAATGTATCTGGGACAAAGCATTTACCACTGACAAGTGCTTACAACGATCAGCTTTTTTATCTATTTCGGTAAAACCTTTACCCCAAAAGAAGGAAAAAAACATTCACTGTAACTGTTTACAAAGTATTAACTGGAATTTTGGCTTCAATTTGTTAGTGTATTTAAATCTGCTAGTCCATTTTACTCTCCCCTTCCGTCAAGACTGACAATGCTGCTGTCCATAGGTGTCCCTGTGCTCATTCATCCAAAGTGGGGGAACTCTAAAACAGTAGGTACAGTATGTTACTGGCCAAACCACCAGGTAAAAACAAAAGGGGAAAAAAGCCTAAGAAAAGAAAACTGATGCAGCCACCACTATCTGATTGGTAAGCTGCAATATATTACATTTTTAGATTTGGGTTTAAGACTGCTTTAACAAATGATGAAGACCATGGCTGTCTGTTACAAGATTAGCCCCATTGTCCCTAGTCACACAACAATTATTTCAAGGGAAAACTTGACTGGGTCTAAGGAGAATAAGAAAAGCATGAGGTGGAGGTACCTGTGCAGAAGTATTCTAGACTAGTGTGACAAAGTTTTTGAGGGTAGCCAAATGGTAAAATGATGTACCTTGTGATGAAGCATTGGTTCAATGGTTAGTTATATTGCTTTGATTTAATGGATTTTGTAAAGGCAGTCGAAAACCTCTCAATGTAAACATACAGTACGTGTACCACTGGAATTCTGTCTGCAATGGAACAACAATCATACACATCTTCATAAATAGAATACCAAGATACTCACTTTAAGAACAATGTCTCCTTCATTCAAGTTTCCATCTCTTGTTGCTAAACCAGCGTCTGTCATTTCCTTAATGAATATCTGGCTGCCCAGACGCAAACCAAATTCTGAAAAAATAAAAGTGGACATACCAATATACAGTATATACTTTCTAAGGATACGCAAGCATATTTATTAAATAAAATGTCAATATCCAGGGCTTTTAAAAGGAGTTTTCTACAAAGTGGTCTCCCTCAGCAGAAGTGTTATTTTCCAGTTGCAGACCAGGTCTGGTCTCCTGAAGCCACTGCCAACATGCCCCTAAAGTCAAGTCTTTTTTTTTTTTTGTGCAGAGATGAAAACACTCTGCCAGCCTCAGACACACCTCAGACTGGAGAAAAGTGGTACACCAAATTAGAAAGATTACAGAAATTGATATTAGTCTGGACCCTGCCTTTTACATAATACAGAAATAACAGTAAATAAATATAAAGAATCAGGAGCATGGTACTTTTTAAATGCAGCCAAGGGATTGATTCCAAAGTTTTGGCGTCAAGTAGAAGCCCCCAAAAAAACAAGACTGGATAGATAGAGCGGACTATATTGTAAGATTAGAGAAACTGTTTTATACCCAGGAAGATGGTTTGGTGATATACCATGCAAAATGGAAAAAATGGGAAGAGTTTAGATCAAGGTTGAGTGGATGAGAATAAGGCCTCTCTTTTTCCTGCCCCTGTGGTGAGAGCACGATTTAGAGCCTCTTTCTCTCTTGCCAAAGAGCGGTAGTTGAAGGGTGGGGGGTGACTTCGGATTTTATTAATGGGGGGTTGGGAGAAATAAGGAAAATATGGGAAGTGAATGTACAAGTTAGATATTGTTGTTCTATGAATGTAAAGAATTTATATTGTAGATTTTAATTTTCCTAATATTTTGAAAATCAATAAATATTCAAATAAAAAAAAAAAAAAAAAAAAAAAAAAAAAAACACTCTGCCAGCCTCAGACACCAATGGAAATGTAGATGTTACTGTCAGGGAGCGAGGAGCCAGACACACAAGGAGGTGCAATTAAAAGGTAGGTTTAGTAATATAAAAATAAGACAAGTCTATGCAAGTCCAACAGCAGAAATCGTAGCCAAAGCCGGGGTCAAGAGCCATGAAGAATCGTCGCCAGACCCGGGATCAGGAGCCAGGAAGAATCATCGCCAGAGCCGGGATCAGGAGCCAGGAAGAATGGTCGCCAGAGCCGGGATCAGGAGCCAGGAAGAATGGTCGCCAGAGCCGGGATCAGGAGCCAGGAAGAATGGTCGCCAGAGCCGGGGTCAGAAGCCAGGAGGAGTCTTAGCCAAAGCCGAGTCGGTATCCAGGAAAGCAATGAGTAGCTAAACAGGAGCTTGCTGTTGTACAGCAGACAGGACACAAATGCAATGGACAGCCACAAACAGCAGACTTATATGTGATAAGCCACCACCTCCTGGGGGAGGAGCTGCAGAGGGCTAAAAGTATAAAGGATCCCACAATGCTTTGCAGACACCTAAGATGGATGCCAGCACATGGAGCAGCACAAGGTCTGAGGAAAGGTAGGACCTTGACAGTTACCCAAAACACAATCTGTATGCCTCGTAAGAGAATAAACCAACTAGTCCCAAGCATTTGAAACCCAATGGAGCAGGTTTCAAATGTTATACAGTAGTGAATGGATGTCCTGTGACTGGACCTCTCTTAAAGGGGTGTTCCGTTTTTTTTTATCCTATCACCTTTCTAGAAAGTGCAAAAAAAAAGGAATATTTTTTTTTTTTTTTTTTTTTTTTTTTTTTTTTTTTTTTTTTTTTACACAGCCATAGTTTCTGTAGGTGGCAAAATCAAATCCATCTGTCATGAACAGGATGCTAGATGCAACTAAAATCACACTCGGGGCAGCCCTCTAGATGTGGCCAAACCCCCCCCCCCCATCTCCAGCAAGGAAATCAGTTAGTAGCCTGCAGTATAGGACATGCACACCGAGACAGCCAAAGAAAACTGGGTGGGTGCTATACACTTCAATTAAGTTAGAGAAATGGATTTTATGGCAAGTAACAAAAGTCCTGTTTTATCTTCTGTTCAATGAAGGACACAGCCATACTGATGGACGGATGGAAAGAAAGAAGGAAGAAAAGAAGGAAAGAAGGAAGAAAAAAAAAGGAACGAAGAAAGAAAAAAAAAAGGAAGAAAAAGGAAAAAAGGAAGAAAAAAGGAAAAGAAGGAAGAAAAAGGAAAAGAAAGGAAGAAAAAGGAAAAGAAAGGAAAAAGGAAAAGGAAAAGGAAAGGGAAAGGAGTCATGGAGCATCTGCGACCAACCAAACAAGATCCGCAGACCAAGCCTTGTGCAGGCAGTCTGGAGGGACCAGAATGCCCTCTCACTGGATTCTGGATAACAACTGAGGGAGGAGTTTTAGACGTGAAAGTATAGATCAGGCAGTACATATGCCAAGGAGTCACCAGAGCATCTGATGCTTTTGCCCAGAAGTCCATGGACCTGGCCACAAACCTTTGAAATATACAAAACTAAAAGACTGTGTGCGCAACTAAAATATCATCAATTGGGGGGGGGGCGTGGCCTGGAGCAGCATGGCGTAGGGTGCACTTCTGGGAGCTCCGTCTGAGACTCATCCGTTTCCATTGATCCTGACTACTATCCTGCTCACACTAACGCCCGCTACGTCTGCTAAACTCCTCTCCATCTCCTTGTGCTATGTTGCCGCCGAAGAAGGGTGCCGACGCTGGCAGTAAACTTGATGAGTTTCGCTATAAGGAGAGGGACATCGTGGGGGAAGATGGCGCCGAGGCCTCTGTCTCTGGGGGAAGTCTGACACTAGTAAGATGCTGGAGGTGATCTCTAACTGCCAGAGTACCTTAACCTGCAAGATTGAGTAGGTGAAGATTGATATCTCACTTATTCGACAAGATTTACAAAAACTCCGGGAGCGGGTCACGGTGGCGGAAGCGCAGCTTAGTCACGTGGAGGACAAATTGCTGCCATTACAAGTCACTACCGAGCGCCTGCAGCACCAGCTTCATACACAGTGCTACAGAAAGCAAGATGATATGGAAAACAGGCTTCGCTGATGCAATCTTAGGTTCGTTGGTCTGCCATAGAATGTGGAGGGTTACGACCCGGCCTCTTTCTTGGAGTCGCTATTCACTACCATCTATGGCAGGGAGGCGTTCTCCCCTACTTTCATGGTGGAGCACGCCCATCACCTGGCCTCTAGGCCTCCACCCAAGGGAGTGCCACCACGTACGTTTATTGCCAAATTTCTGAACTGTCTGGACCGGGACACTTCTTCGCCTCAGCAGGGAAAAGGGAAGCATTCTGCTCCTGAATGCCAGGGTCACGGTCTTTGCAGACTTTTTGGCAGAGGTCCAAAAACAATGTGTGCAATTCGTGGAGGCTAAGAGACAACTTCGGGTTCACACCATGTGTCCTCTGCTATGCTTTTCCCTCCTAGACTTCGAGTCGTGAGGGATGACAAGGCTCACGTCTTTGAAGAACCAGAATCGGTGCTGGCCTGGCTAGACCAGCAAACAGCACCAGTACCTACTCCGGCCTGATATATTTTTTTTTTTTTGGGATGGTCTCTGTTACTATGTTTCATCTCTCCCTAGCCCAGTGCCTCGTTAGTGCATCTCACTGTCTTTGCCTCCCCATTATTATTACTCCTAGTCTTCATTATTCCTCTCTCCCTTCTCCCACCATTTGTATTAGCTCCTTTCCCTCTCCTTCTCCCTTCTATTTTCTTTTGACATGTTTCATATTTCAGTTTTAGCTCCTATCTTCTTTTCTTTTAAATCCTTTTTGTGAGTCTTGGGTCCTTCCTCTCTGGATGTCTGGTGTTCCCTCCCTCTACTTGGTTCCCCTTTTTTCTTCTGTTCCTTTCTCTTCTCCCATCTCTCTCCTATACTTCTCCCATGTTTCTATTCTTTTTTCTTTTTTCTTTCCCTCTCTTTGCCCACTTGCTTTTTTCTTCTTCCCCTCTTCGGTTTTCTTCCACTCTCATCTTTCTTCCTTCTCTCTTCCTCACTTTCCTCTCTCTGTGCCTCCTTCCCTTTTTCTCTTTTTTCCCTTTCCTTTTTTTTCTTTTCCTTCTTTTCTCCACTTCCCTTTTTTATTTTTTGCTGGTTTTATTTTGGGTTACCTATTTTTTCAATGGGACGCCTGGATCCCAAGAAACTTACGTCCACATTCCAGAATGCTCTACTCTCACCTTCTGCATCATCATTGGCATAAAGCCTTAAAACCTGCTGGGAGGCGGATGTAGGGGAGCTGGATGATGAAATGTGGGAGGTGTTGTCCTCGACTAAGATGGTTTCCCCGAGGTTGTTGGACCATCTCACTCAGTTATATATTATACATAGAACCTATTTGACACCAATTCGATTGTCTAAATACAGGCCACAATATAGCCCACTTTGCCTAAAATGTGGGGACCCGGATAGGACTTTTTTCATTTATATGGTCCTGTCCTCTGATTCGGGGTTACTGGTCTCAGGTGGTCTGATTCCTTCATGACAAGATGGGCTCTCCCCTTACCCTCTGCCCTAAGCAGTGCCTACTCGGTCTTCCTAGTTCAGAAACCGATAAATTTCAGACTCTTTTTTTTGCAAGAGACGCTATATGTGGTGTGACAGTGTGGCGATCTGTCACCCTGGATTCTCAACAAGGCAGGTTGAGGGGCTCCAGGGTAAAGGTTTGATATGGAGGAAAGTGGCTTTTCATTTTTCTCCTTTGTTTGTAAGGTCTGTTTTGGGATCTGGAGCCTAAGATTTCAAGAGATCTGGGAGCTGGATGAAATCTCCAATCCTGGGACCAGGTTTTGGGATAGGCCAGGAGATGATTGCACAGGTGTGTGCAGGCCTTTAGAGAGAGTCAGGACCAGGGTTCTGGGCTCCACCCCGGCAGCTAGGAGTCAGCAGGGCTCCAATTGGAAGACAGGAGGTCACTGCCTGGAAGTCAGGTGGGCTTCACCTAGGAGAGGTGGAAGCCAAAAGCAGCAAGGGGCTGCTAGAGTCTAGCTGTGTGCTAGCGGCGTGCAAGAGCCGTGTCTTGAAGAAGTCTGCAGGAGACAGACATCAAGTTGAGTATAAGCCAGGAGGCTGAATCTGTGTTTTGTGTGATGGTGTGGATATTATGTTTGTCCTCCCCTGCGTGGGCAAACCTCTTATGTTATTGAACTGTCATTTAAATAAAAGTGGGCTAAAAAAGGCCTTGAAAAATCGAGTAGCTGTGTGCGTTTAAAAGCTCTACCATATGAAGCGAGTTCCCACAGTGGCTACATTATTGCTTGCTCGTAAAATGTGGTTGCAGGCGCTGTCGCCTAAGTTTTCAAAGTGGGTAGCTGCGGTAAATAGTACTTTATGAATATAGATGACCTTCCTATATGGTAGAGGATGCCCTGCTAAATATCAAAATTTGGGATAAATGACTTGACTATATGTTTAATTGTGAAGAGGAGGAAGAGTAGGAGGAATGATTAATTCTCTGTAAATCTATTATGTTGGTTGTTATTATGTTTGTCCTGCTTTCCTTGCCTACAGCAAAGGCTCTACAATCTACATTAAGCATTACTTGCTTGTCTAATCGACCTGTGTTTGTTTATATTGAATATGTGATGTGCCTGCATGTCTGTTCCCCTCATTAAAAAAAAGTTTGCTTGATTAAAAAATATCATCAATTAAAAAAAAAAATACACACACACACACACACACACACACACACACACAGCTACCACTAAACACACTCAGGTTTGTTTAAAATATTAAAAAATGGTGCAGCGCTATTTATACAAAACATACATAATAAATATTAAAAAGAAGCCAGTTTCTTTAGCTCTGAAAATCAAATGATTTTATGACTTGAATTTATTTATAAATTAAATCACAATATATTGCAGTACAAATAAAAAAACCTCTAACTGTGTAAACAATCTGCATATGTATTGAGGAAGAAATTGAAATCTTTACCTTCATTCTTTTTCTTTTTGGCAAGGAGTACACTGACGGGTTTTTCCTGACCCTTTCGTGCTGCATGCAGTTCGGGCGACGGACTGTGGGACTGAAGTCTATCTCGACTGCGGTGAAGCAGGTCTTTTTCAATTCTGTAGTCGGTTTGAGATTTCTGAATATTTCCTCTTTCTGGGCTATAGTCCCCACTGTAACTTTGTTCAAATGACTCTTCCCTGTCCACGCTCTTTCCCCGATCCCTCCTATATTTGCGTTCTTCACTCAAGTCCCGATCAATGCTCCTACCACGACTGCGTTCCCGTCTGTAGTTGTCATCATCTAGGTTTCGTTCTCTACTCCTTCCCCGGACATAATCCGGCTCTTTATCATAAGATCGACCTCTTTCCTGATCTCTTCCATAGCCTCGGTCTGGACTGGATTCCCTGCTGCGCCGGCCACTTCCACTTTGCCAGCTCTCGCTGTAACCACTGTATGCACTTCTGCGGTCAAAATGTCCATCATCATCAAGAGTCTCAAAGGCTCTAGGGTCAGGCTCAGGAGAAGGGGTCCGCCTTGATGCTGTAATCTGAAATTTCCGAGGTCTTTTCACCACCTATTTAGCAAACCCAGGAGATGGTCAAAACATGATAAAAAGTAGACTAACAATGTTAATAAAGAGAATGGCATTCTAAAAACTGTCAGTTGGTTTGCTCCCCTAACAGCTGTGTATTTGAGTCAGTTACTGCTTTTTTTTTTTTAATCAAGATACAATTTGTATATTAAGCCCATGCCAACAAGCAATGCTTGGAAGCTTTCTTAAAAGTCTTTCCATATCTACTGTAGTTGCCATAATTTATTGTGATCTTGTGACTTGTCCCTGTGAATTCACCTACGCACACCAACACAATGAATCCCTTCTGTGAAATCAACAAACCACTGTCAAGATGAAGAGTTATGACTATTTCACAAGGAAGGGCATACTTTGTAGCCCAACAGCATGCTTCTCTACCTCATTAAAAATAAATCTCAAAATATTAAAAACCCAGCACCCTCTTGTCTGGGGTTTATCACCACAAATTTAAAGTATTTACCTTACCTCCCATTACAGCACAGAGACACAGTCCCATTTAAATATGAAACTTTTTTGGCCAATCCCACCTGTTAGTTTATTTATATTTGCCATTCTTTACAGCTACTCGCTCAAGCCAAAGAGGCACCTGCATTAAATTACCGGCACTGACAGCCACTTAAAATGAGAACTCACATGAGTATTAAACATTTACATACAGGTCTTTACATTCATGTATAAATACATTGCTTTGCCTCTTCAGAGAGGCGCTAATGGATTGTGAACAAAATGCATTTTTCACACCCCTCTATTTATCCTGCAGGCATTGTCACTCAGAAAATGATGGAAAAAGAGGACACCAGAGCAAGAACTGAGTGATAATGCTCCAAAATGCGGACACCTGTTACTCCACATTACCACTCTGCTGTTACAACTCTCCATTCACTTCAAAGAGATTATCTTTCATTTTCTGTTGTGTCCCCAGAACAGGAAGGGAAGGGAAAATCTCCCCCATGGGAAATAGCAAAAAAATGAAAAGAAAAAAAAAACCACGACAGTGGATTTAATCGTTTGCTTAATCTGTCTAACATAAAAAGAAATTTTTGGGCTTCACAGTTTTTAGGACAATATTGTCTACATCTGATTACTGAATCTGAGGGTTTATATCCAATTTATAGGTGTATTAGGGGTGAATTCACTATGAGATAAGTGCCACATGATTTTTTGAGTTAAAGTAACTCATGCGCCATTTATCTCAAAAGAAGTCAATTCACTTAAAAAAATTTGTTATTTACCGAATGTGTTAAATATATAAGTTTGCGATATTTATCACTTAAATTTAGCATTATTTTGGCATTTTTTTAATATGCTAACACTGCACCAAAGGAAATGAGTTATGTAAATAAATACACAGAAAAAGATTATGAAACTGTGAAAACATTTTTAGTATGCTTTCATTCAATGCTGGTTCATACATGGGGATTGGATGCGGTTTGAACTACATCCAATTGGCATGACATGTGAAATAACATTGTTTCCTATGGTGCCTTGTTCACATATATCCGGTGCACAGGCAGTGCGGATTCAGTGCGGACTGAAAAAGAGTCCTGTTCAATTTCTGAGCAGTGCGGTCTGGTTCAGCAGTGCAGATTACAGGCCACTGACTATGGGAACCTATTTCTAAGCTGCACATGTTGTCAGTTGTGAACAGGATAAAATCCTGACCTTAACCTGATCTAAAACTTATCCTGAACCTGATGGAAACCTGACTTGAACAACTACTGTGTTAATTAGCTGGGAAACCTGAGCTTCAATACGCACCGCACATGTGTGAATCCACACTCACAGAACGGTCTCCCTCTGGTGAAATGGAACAATTTATTGCCTTTAACTTAATGACGCCGGTGTAACACATATATGAGGCGTAACGGAAGTGGGTCTTCTCTTGAGGTGTCGCATATGTGGTATGGCATTTGTGCTGGAAGCATGCTCCATAACACCAAGCAGTCACATGGTCATTGTGATACCCTGTGATTGGCTATCACAGTGATCAGTCAGTAAAATCTACCCCTGAACTCTGTTTTGCCTCTGAATGGAGAAGATACATTCCGGGACATTAACTAGCTTCTTGCACCAATATAATGGGGCAGGAAACTGTTGCAAAGTGGTGTGCACCACATTACCTGTTTTAGGTCCATTTGCGCCACCAGCCAGTTTCTATTTCAGATTGAAAAAGAAATGGGTACAAGGTCTGTACCCAAACAACAACTTGGACCTGGCTTATAGGATGTGAGCTGTCAGTAGACAGAACCCATCCCTCTCTGTCTGCCTGGGCAGTGATTACACTATATGAGCAGAGCCTCCAGGGTTACCAACAATCCTCCTCCCCTGCTCTGATATGAGTGGGGGGGGGGGCAGGGATGAGCATAAAGATTGGAGAATGCAGCTCCAGCTCTCCTGTCCTCTATGCTGTATCTGTCAAAGCCAGATAGAACATAGAACTGATTGCTCCTAATTAACAAAGCAGCTTTATTAATTAACTGCTCAATTTTTTTACGTTTAGAAGAGTGGTGCAAGCATTGTGCTTGCACCACTCTTTGCTAATTCCCTCCAAGGTATTGTTTTCTCCTAGCCAGAGGAGGAAACATGAAAAAAACAAAAAAAAAAAAAAACAAACCTTTAGTGTAAGTGGTTTAGATAGGATAAACAATAAAAATAGGCACTATTGTTTCTTGGCCCTACTAAAGGTAGAAACAACAAATAATATACACTTACATGGTATTACCATAAACTTCATAAGTAGGAGAATTTATTTGGCATTTTATTTTTGGTGGTGGATCGTGGAAATGGCAAGAAATAATCTAAATTTTTTTCCTGTGATGATAAAAAAAACCAAATGATATCCAAAATGATATCAAACAGTTAGTGTCGGAGAGGAAAAACAATAACACATTACCATTTACCATAAAAAACAAAAAAAAATAAGTGTAATTCATCATGATATACTAAGTGGCTGCGATGATATGTACATTTACCAACACATGCCAAAGCTGCAGAACTGCATTTAGGTAAAGATTTGATTTTACCTTCAGGCATTAATGGGTTAAGCAAGACCATTTTGAATACTCACAATGACGGCTGTTTTTCCACATTTCCTTAACTGTTGTACTGCAAACGAATGGAGCACATTATCCATAGATGTTCCATTGACCATAACCACACGATCATTCTCTCTATAAAAAAAAAAAAAAAAAGAGAAAAAGAAAAAGATAACAATAAGTAAAATAAGCAAAACCATAAAAAAAAAAAAAAAAAAAAAAGCCACTCACTTAACTGCCATATTTATTCTAGAGGTACCCTGAACGATCGTATTATTCAATAAGACTTCAAACATACAGTAAATCAATTTAGGTTGCAGAGCACAGTACAAAAGCACTGCTCTACTGCATACACCCATAATGTGCAGGCCTTGCTAGTATACCCAGGGTGCAGCTGCAAGAGCAAAGCACATAAAATTGTCTTCATACAATCCCTCATCAATAAATGCAACCAACCAACTTTTTAATTACATTCTCTTTAATTTTTGTAATGTAGCAATTGGAAGGATACATTTTTCCCTATTCTGATCTTCAAGAGAAAATAAATCTTATCTAAAGTGATGTATAACCAAACCCCTTTTTTCATCAACAAATGAGTAAGGAATGCTTAAAAACCCTGTTAATTAAAATTAAGCAATTAACCAAGGTCAATTTTTGAAACTGTGTTTATTTTCTGTCCCAGAAACAAAGTCAGGTGGAAATATCCCTAAAGTGGGGGGAATTCCCATTTTAAATGCATGTCACAGAAAAAGTGTCCCCATTGCAAGACTTCTCCATTATTCTTGTTCTGTAACAGCTATAAAATCTTTCCAGCAGGGGCAAAGACAGCATTAAAAACATGATAGAATTTCTAACCCTTCTACGCTCTATCCAAAACTGCAGCTAGAAAGAAGATGGCTGCTTTGACAAAATGGCACTTTTCAACATCTTTGAGCATTTGTCAGCAGAAGGCAGGGAATCAGCAGTACACTGATCTTTCCAGTGAAGAACTGTGCAGAGGGCATGTCAGCAGGAGACACAGAAACAGCAGTACACTGATCTTTCCAGTGAAGAACTGTGCAGAGGGTGTGTCAGCAGAAGACAGGGAATCAGCAGAACACTGATCTTTCCAGTGAAGAACTGTGCAGAGGGTGTGTCAGCAGGAGACAGAGAAACAGCAGTACACTGATCATTTCCAGTGAAGTGCTGTGCAGGGGGCATGACAGCAGGAGACAGATATATAGCAGTACACTGATCTTCCCAGTGAAAATTGCTGTTAAGGGGTTGTATCAGCACAAGTCTGATCTTTGCAGTACTGACAGGCTGTGCTCCCAAGTAGAATTCAAAGAAGCAAAACTGACCATACTGGTATGTATGTGCTTCCATGCCTGGAATGGTCAGTTTAAAATAGGAAAGCAAGGGGATGAATAGGATCACCAGTAATGAAAGAGCAAGGGATACTTTTTCATACAAGTAAATGGTACAACAGACACATATCAGGAATATGAAATTTTGGAGTAACATACATTTTAAGCACTTGCTTGTCTCACTAGGAATGCAGGGGGAGGAATGCTTGTTAGCTAACATGTTCCAGGTAAGCAGGCAAATACTTGGGGATGGAGAAACGTGCTATTTATCAAAGCAGTCGCCTCTATGCCAGTTGTGTTGTCAGATGGCCATGGAGGAAGGAAGGATACCCTGTCTACAAAAATGCTGTGTGTTGTCCGCCCACAACAGGACTTGGAGCGCATTTCTGGCAGATCAAGAGATATTTGTCTCTACCTGCTGGGATAAAACATGGGAAATGTGCATGTATTGTAGAAAACTACTGCGTTATTTTTGGCCCTGGCATATACATGTAAAATACAATCCATATTTCTGAGTTAACAGGTTATGGAAGTATCCAAAGGTGAATCTGAGGCAGTGTGGGCCTAGAATTTTGACACCATGGTTAAAAATAAAAACTCTAGATTACAAAATAGAACTAATATATGTATATATATAACTAAAAATATAACCCTGTTGAGAATATGTGCAAATATATCATAGTAGAAATTATTCTACTTGCTGAGATCTGCCTAAATCCTCAATATGGAAATGAGCTCCCTGGCAAACCCAACAACCAGAATAATTAGTTGTCAGCGTTATAAGTCATGGCTGCTCTCTTGGGGGAGATGAACAAGTGAGTTTTGTGAATTCCATCATTCCAGCCATGTATTTTTTTTTTCCTGTTAGTGCGGTAGATCAGATACGTTTTTAGAAGCACAGCATATTTAGTAGTAAAGAAAAGAAGGGGAAAGGAGATACCAGGTTTTATCTGTTTTTGTAAGAATCAGGAGGTGCCTTTAGTGACACAAACAAAAGGAGGAGAGGCACAAGACATGCTGGATTTTTTGCATTTCAAATATTTTTATTAACTTTTTTTTTTTTAAACAATTTTAACAAAGAAAAACTAGAGCAAAAGACGCCCACACAGGGGTTATCAGTGGCACATACAAAATAAAGAGAACAGTGCTATAACACCGACAATGTAAAAGGCGCGTCCACATACGGGCCATTAAAGGCACATAAAATACAAAAACAGCAATATAACACCAACAATATACCAGCCAAAGGGAAGTATCTACCACCTGACAGATTAAAACAATAAAGAGGATAAAAGAGCAAAAAAGGAAGAAGAAAACAAGACCAGAAGCAGGAATCCGGGAACGCCAATATCATACAGTATCATGAACCCAGACAAGCCGGGGGAAGACATGATGGATTTTTTAATCTGTCTATATCTTAGGCGTTTAATCATGTTTTCCAACTGCAAAACTTCAGGAAATACATCGGACACACATGCATGGGTAAACGCGGATGCAAAGAAGCAATGCATTTACCAGAGTGCTGCTTGCCAAACAGGTGTATGGCTGTAAGTAGGAATGGGCTAGAAAATTCAGCCAGGCATATAAAATGCCTGTTAAAGTCCCCTGGCATGAGCCCTAATGGAGTGGGTACAGGCACTGCAGAAGGTGTACAGTGTACACAGTATGTACACCTACACTCGATTTAACCATGCTAGTTTGATGTCCAATATTCAGCGCAATTTAGCCATGTCCCTTCTTGTCTCATTCTTAAAGCTCAGCTCTATGAATCTTAAAAATGATCCCTTGAAGCAGGATGGCTACACATTGCAAGGATTAATTGCTTGTTTAGGTACAATGTTGGTAGGTATTGTCGCAAACGTGCACACCAAAGACTGACGCAGTCCTCCATTTTAAGAATCTCCATGTTGTCCCTCATTTTTTCCCTTTCCTCTCTTTTAATCCACAGGGAAGGGTGTTGGAAGGGTCACAGGCAGGCTAGAGCATGGCGGGGAGTCCAGAGCTATAAAACACCTCTCTGAGCAAGATGCCTGGCTGTCTGAGCAACCTGGGCCATTTAACACCTCGTAAAAAGATAACAGAGCCTTCCCGGAGTTCAAGGAATTCCAACGAAGCACGAATCAGATAAACACTTTTCAAAATCCATTTTTCCCCTATGTCTCATATCTTGGAATATGAGAGACTTACATAAAAACCAGACATATCGTCAGATTGGCTAAGAGAAGACGAAACAATTTGATGGGTCACTCGCCTTGTCTCGAATACATAGAAAAGCAGAAAAATAGATCTCGTGAACCATTCAGTGTAGAACTTCATAATTCATATCTAATCAATCCTCAGACGTGTCTGCATAATAATCTACCCACGGGTGGAGTGTCACTTGTGCATAGGAAAAGTTATGAGCCAAAATATGAACTACACGAGATTTTGGCTCTAGTTTAGGTCCACACCCAGACCTCCACGCCCTAAACGTGGTATTGGTCCTTGACTTCAGAGACACCCCCCTGCTAGGGAACTACAAAATGGGATGTCAGGCCTAAGAGAGTTAAGTTGAAGACGTCTCCCATTTTAACATCAGTACCACCTGGGGAGACCCGTGCCCTTTTGCTCTGAAACGTGGATCTGCTAACCCAGGACTTTGGCAAGTACCTTAACCCTTTCACCTCTCTCTGATATCTCTTTGCTGTGCTGTAGGTCTCTGTATATTTATATATATATATATATATATATATATATATATATATATATACACACATATATACACAGTGGGGATCGAAAGCTTGGGCACCCCAGCTAAAAATTTCTATTAATGTGCATAAAGAAGCCAAGGAAAGATGGAAAAATCTTCAAAAGGCATCAAATTACAGATTAGACATTCTTATAATATGTCAACAAAAGTTAGATTTTATTTCCATCATTTACACTTTCAAAATAACAGAAAACAAAAAAATGGCGTCTGCAAAAGTTTGGGCACCCTGCAGAGTTAATATCTTGTACTGCCCCCTTTGGCAAGTATCACAGCTTGTAAACACTTTTTGTAGCCAGCCAAGAGTCTTTCAATTCTTGTTTGAGGTATCTTTGCCCATTTCTTCCTTACAAAAGTCTTCCAGTTCTTTGAGATTTCTGGGCTGTCTGTCACGCACTGCTCTTTTAAGGTCTATCCATAGATTTTCAATTATGTTGAGGTCAGGAGATTGTGAAGGCCATGGCAAAACCTTCAGTTTACGCCTCTTGATGTAATCCCCCGTGGATTTCGAGGTGTGTTTAGGATCATTATCCATTTGTAGAAGCCATCCTCTCTTTAACTTCAGCTTTTTCACAGATGGCATCAAGTTACCATCCAAAATTTGCTGAAATTTTATTGAATCCATTTTTCCTTCTACTCGTGAGATGTTCCCTTTGCCACTGGCTCCAACACAACCCCAAAGCATGATTGATCCAACAACCCATGCTTAACAGTTGGACAGAGGTTCTTTTCATTCAATTCTGTGCCCCTTCTTCTCCAAACGTACCTTTGCTCATTCCGGCCAAAAAGTTCAATTTTAACCTCATCGGTCCACAGAACTTGTTTCCAAAATGCATCAGGCTTGTCTATATGTTCATTTGCAAAGTTCAAACGATGATTTTTGTGGTGAGGACGTAGAAGAGGTTTTCTTCTGATGACTCTTCCATGAAGACCATATTTGTACAAGTATCTCTTTATAGTGGAATAGTGTACCACAACTCCAGTGTCTGCCAGATCTTTCTGGAGGGATCGTGCAGTCGTGGGTTTTGAATTGTTTTTCTCCA